AAAACGTCAAACAAGCCTGCATGCATCAAGATCACCTCTATTCGCTATCTAATGTCGAAATAAATAAACCACCTATTTTATTATAAATATTTTACAAACGATATTAAACGATTAACGCTACGGTCATCGCTATCTGTTGAGACATCGTTAAACTAAATAAGTTGGTTTCCATATAGCCTATACCCATGGTCTATCTATGTATATTTAATCTATGCTGAAAGGAAATAGTTGTGTAGGTATCGTGAATATACTGGTATGGTCATATAATGTGTACGGTGAATAATTTAAAAATATAAAGTTATTACTTTTTCCATTTGAATTTCAGACTAAATTGTATTTATAGAGTTGTAGTTATTACCATTGATTATAAATACTTATATTATGTATAATATGTAATATTTATAATCAATGGTATTACATATTATCTGACTTACTAATTACGGTTATAATTTATATATATATATATATATACAAGTATGTAACTGGTAGGTAATATGTGAGATGGTGGTGGCGCCGGTGACGGACGGTCGGTCGGAACATCTCTATCGCTTGACACACCCGAAGTGAGGTCGGGGGTACGTTTTCGCACTCACAATTACATGCTGGAGAAATCAATTATGAAAAAATCTTGGTATACTTTTTGAATACAAACATGCCTCATCTATAACAATTTTGTGAGACTTGAGTCGCGACGATTTTAATTATGTAAATATTCAGTAATTTCTAAACGTCTCTTCTAGATTATGGTCGAAGCTTTTTTTTCTAAGTATATTTTTTAACAAATTATATTAATTATTGAAAATGTTGAAAAAGAAAAAATTGCGTTGTATGTAAATGTCATAAAAAGTTGAAATTTCGAAAAATGCTCCGAACGTTCTCTAAAAAAGATAATATAGAATTATTGGACTTTTACAGAATTAAATTCGGCTCAGCCAAAGTCCCACAATTTTGTCAGACATATTTGTCTTTTATTCATGTATTTATAACGAGCTAAAACCACCTTAAAGCTGAAAATTAATAGTCTTGAAGAAAACACCTCTTCAACTAACCGATCTGCAATTACTAACCTGGTTATGAAAGAACTTATTGAACGTGATCGCTGTTCCTCCAATGTGATAGCTCAAAGTTTTGTATAGTCCTCCTATTCTAATATATCAGAACGAACTTTACATAGTAAAACCATAATTATAAATATTTTTATACAAATTTTTAACAAATTAATTTTTAATGAGTAGAATATTTTTACTTTGTATAATTTTAATATTTATTTATGACAATTTATGATTAATAAATCTTATTGCAAACTTTAAATTATAATAGAAACAGATTAATTTTATTATCTATTTAACTGACACAGATATTTTTCATTACCTCATTATGTATAGCATTATATATCATAATCACTATTAGTTTATACAGTGGCGTAGCTAGGATTTTCTGAAGGGGGGTGTTAATTATAATTATTAAATATTATATATATAATACGTACGAACTAAAACTTTTATTTTAATTAATTAATATGTATACATAATGTGTGTAATAGAGATGTAATGTATATTCGAATATCAGTATTCGATGCTACAATACCTATTATTATTAAACGTTTTGTGTTGCACGAAAACGTAAACGAATAATTTTCGTCAAGTATTGTCGCAATCGCGATAATGTTAACCTGTATATATGTAATTAGTATTGCGCATTATTTTATATTTCATATTGTATTATCGATTTACCTATATTCCTATAATAATGTAATATATGATACGACTCAAGGGGGGTGTCATATCTACCAAACACCCCCCTTGTATACGCCACTGAGTTTATAATAGCTAAAACGGTCAACAATAAAAAATAATCTTACAAAAACAGAGAGCAAACAATCTGTGCTACCATTGCATGTACACAATTTAAACAAATGATGACATGTTTGTTATGAATAAAATATATTTAGTTATTATTTTATAAAAGTTATATAGTTATTATTATCAGGGGTGGATTGGCCTATCGGGAAATCGAGAATCTTCTCAATGGGCCGCTCTATATTATTATATAATTACCAAAAAAAAATTTTATTTTATAAAATAAATAAAAATTATTAAATAAATATATATATATATATTTAAAGATGCATTAAGATCAAACTTCAAGTTCAAGTTGGAACTGATTAATCATGTGACTAATCCAAAACTATTATAACAACAATTATAGTAAAGTTATTGTAGATTTTACTAATTTAGGGGTGAAACTAAACAAATTTTAAAATTGATGCAAAATAAAGCGTTTTTTGGGAGGGGGGAGGGGTGAAATAGTTTAATTTGCGATTCATGGTTTGTTTCATATTTCCTAGGCCGAAAATAATTGCCAATCCGCCCCTGATTATTATATATATTTAGTACATATCTAATAGAGGACTTTGTAATCTTTGTCATAGAAGATTCTTCAAATGTTGATGCATTATTGATTATATTCAACTCATATTTTATTAACATTTATACTTGATTTGAAAAACAAATATTATCAAGGCAACATAATATGACAAGATTATAAGACTATTTGTTTTACTTTATTTAAGGTTTCAAATTACTTTACCTAATTATTTTTTAAATTTGTGGCGCAGTCAAATTAGAGTTATAAAATATTTATGTACGTGTGGAGTGAGTTTCAATGTTCAAAGAGATCCTAGAATTACTTAATTCACCTCCTTCTGTATAGCTGTTATAGACTATTTTGTGAACTCTAAACAAAATTCCGGACACAAATAAAACGTGATAAATATTTATACTTAAAAAAAAAAATCTTAATTTATTAAAAGGTTACTTGATACAGTGTACAATATTATAAATTTTAAAATAATAAACCATAGACATATTAAGATATGTCTTTGGTAATAATTAGGCTTAGGGACTTCTAGCATTTTCCCAGAATATATATATTCCCAGAATGTTTTTATCGTACACAATCATCGTGTATAAACTTAGAAACCGGCGATTAGTTGACTATTAAAACGTGCCATGCGTTTGCTATTCACAGTAAGTCAACGCGACACAAGACGTGCGTATGTCATGATTGTGTTACCTATTTAACTATAACAAGTCTAAATAACTTATCTAGTAGTGATGTTAACCGTCTAAGTGATGGACGAAAACGAAAAATCAATATGACAGATTGGAAAAATGTAAAAAAACAACTCTTCGAAATAGTGGGAAAGAATATATTTCTCAGAGTAAAAAACTTGTACCAGCTAAAACACCTCCAACCGTGGTTAGTAAAAATGTTATGAATGTAGTAAAATATAGATAATATTGAAAAATATTTTTAAACATTTTAGGATCAAGTTTGTGACCAGAGTTCATGTCCTTGGCAAGGTTGTGCAACAATGACTTTAGCAAGAAAACTTGACGTTTTTTAATTTGACGAAAATTTGACGTTAAAAATTTGACGAATTTTATAAGTTAACGTATGATGAACAATCAGCTTTTCTGTATAAGTGTATAAAAGTAAATGCTCCTATGAGAAGACGACCAGGAAAAACAGATGCTACATCACGATGATTTTGTTCATTTAAATATTACATTGATGATTTACAGATATGCAAAAATACGCTTTTAAATACGTTTTGTATTACAAAAAGACGTGTTATGACGTTACAAGATAAAATTAAACTAGGTATTGTGACACCTAGGGATAACCGTGGAAAACATTTAAATAGATCTCATGTTATTAATGCCCCTGTAAGAGATTTAATTAGACAACACATAAATAGTTTACCTTGTCAACCATTACAGCCGTATTGCTACAGATAACCTGCAATGTTTAAGTTCAGACTTAAATTTGTGTAAGCTTTATCGATCTTTTAAAAATAAATATCCCGATATAAATTTAACTTAAATTTAATTAATTTTAATTAAATTAAAATTAATTTAAATAAACAACCTTGCCAAGGACATGAACTCTGGTCACAAACTTGATCCTAAAATGTTTAAAAATATTTTTTTGTTAAAATGTTTTTATTTTTTCTAAATCATTTTTATTTTTTAGGAATCTAGAATTGTTTTTAATACAATAGAATCATTGTATAAGCACTTTTCTCATCCTACTAAAAATAAAACTCTAGTTACTATGCAAAGAAAATTAGGAGTTAAAATATCAAAAATAAATTCTTTGAGTGATACAAGGTGGAATTGTAGATGGAAAAACTGTGAGTCAGTTGTATACAATTATTAAGCAATTATTGCAGTTTTGCAAGAAGAAATAGATAACCAACTGGACCGAAATGTAAATAAAGCTATAGGTATACTCATATCATTTTTAATTAAATATTAATACTATTGTCTAATTATAAGCACCGGATTAATTTAATATGTTTTGAATATTTTTTTATAGGTATACTTTCAATAATGCAAAAAGGATCATTTGTTATTTTTCTATTCATTTTGCAACATGTATTATCTTCCATAAATATACTTAGCAACATGTTTCAAGATAAAACTACTACATTGGGTAATGCAGGTAATCTAATAAACAGCGTAATACTAAGTTTTAAGAATGCTAGATCTACCATTGGCTTTAGTGACTTGTGGTTAGACATAAAAACTTTTTGTGATGAAAATGATGTTAAAGTGATCCTACCTTTTCAAACTCAAGGTCAGTATTGTGTACCTAATAAAAAATATTTATTTATTTAAATTAATATTATTTTTAAGCTTATTTAATATGTTTATTATTAACATCTAAGCGAATGAGACGTGAACCCAGAGGCGGATTTATCTTTTTTACGGCTATAGGCACCAACAATTTACCGCCTCTATATTAGGCGAAGAAGTTTTATAGTCTTCCGAAATACCTAATCTAAATATTAAATATATAAATATATGTACCTATATCCATTTGAATGTTTAGACTATTTTTTTCGCTTTTATTAATTAGTCTACTTTGAAAAAATATCAATGGACGTCCACCAAATTTTATTAAAAACAGATTTTCATAATAGCAGCATAGGATTATTAATATACAGTCGAATTAGTAATATAGTGTGGCAGTGGGGGTATTTATCTTTCCCCAAAATTCCAACGATAACATATTAATAAAATGCAACCATTATTATACAATTATTTTTCGTAAATATAAAGTAAATAATTTTCCAATTTTTTTTCGCATACGATGTTTTCTAATAAAACACTACAGAATTAGCCATCCCCAAATTTTGCCGCCCTAGGCAGCTGCCTACAGTGCCTAATGGGAAATCCGCCTCTGCGTGAACCCAATGTTTTTGAAGATTTCATTCTAACAACTACTACTGCTGCAGAATCATTTAATAGTACTGAAACAAATTGTGTAAATGGCTATTTTAAAATATTAGATTGTATAGTTGTAAATTTGAAGAAAATGTTTTCAACTGAAAGTCTTCAAATGGCTGAAGCTATAGACAATTTTATAAAATTAGATTTTAAAAAGAGTGAACTATTTATTAATCATTATAAGGTAATTTCATTATAAAAACTTGCTATCAAAATTTAATATTATTGAATTAATAAATGAAATGACATGTAGGATCAAAATTTTATTTATTGTAAATTATTCTTATTCTATTTCTAATTAAAGATAATTGTTTTTTTTTCTAGGATTTATTGGATGTAAAAAGTATAAGTGTTCAATCAGAAATGCATGTTGTGAAGAACTACTTACACTTATCAAATGGCAAAAGCAGTATTAATTTAGAAGCTTTGACTTCAGTACTTTCCAAAAATATATACCCTAACATGTCTAAGCTTATACAAGTTGCACTTACTTTTCCTATAAGTTCGTCAACGTGTGAACGTAATTTTTCTGCAATGAGAAGGATTAAAACATGGCTGAGGTCATCCATGGTACAGAATAGATTAAAAAATTTAGCTATAATTAGTATTGAGAAAGATATTTCTAAAAAAAATTGATAAAGAAGCCATACTAAATTTATTTGCAAAAAAAAATAGATACATTATTTTAAAATAAATATTTTTTAGTTTCATTATAAAGAGTTTTTATTGTTAAAATTCAAGTATATGTATGAGTATATCAGTATATGCATAGTATAGTAGTATATCTATCTAAAATAAATCACGCTTAGGTTTTGCATGATATTTATAGGGTAATATAATTTTTTTTTTTTTTTTAGCTTTGATATGCAATAAAGTATTTTTAAATATTAGCCCCCTCTAAAATTATGGAGAATTTCCGCCTATGAATATAATATTATCCTGGTATTTTATTAATCTTTAAAAAACCACATTATTATTTTTACATATTTTAAAATTAATATAATATATTATCCTGGTAATGATGTATAAAAGTCACTGTATTGTTGAGGCATATACTTGCACATGTCTAAAAGATTTTTTTTCTTTTCTTTTGTTAAGCCACTGGGGATTCGTAGGCTGGTGGTAAATCTTTAATAGATAAAGTGATATCTTTAAAGTTGTTTTTACGTATTTAATGTAATGTTCATGGTCTCAGTGTATCAGTGTATTGTGACTTTCACGAATATTTACATGCTTAGGATCATCAGCTGTCAATTTCAACCACATTGCTTGTGTTATTTTTAGATTTTTTTTTGTAGTATCTTGCTCTATTGTAGAAAAATCTTTAAAATCATTTTGAGATATTTCTATAATACGAAATGGTTTTTCTAATCTTGCATTAGCTATAACATATTTCCATTGTGACGATACAAATACTTTAGCTTTTTTTTTTTTTTGTTTTTCAATTAAGCGAAATCTCGGTCACATGGTAAAAAACTATGGCCAGTCAAAAAAATGTTTTGATTAATTTCTGTAAAGTACTTGCAAAATATTAGATAGGAGTACATATTTAATCTTCGCCAGTTATTATTTTGATGGACACATCTATCAGACCATATTATTTATCCATATTAATTTCCTCTCTTCACCATGTCCAAGAATATCGTAATTATTCTCGATATAATTTAAAATACACTAAGCTATTTCTAATGATCCTCTTTTAGCGATACATTCATACCACAAATGCATAGAAACTTCATTATTACCTACATTATGAATTGCTAAATTATAGTTGGAAAGTTGTCTTTGATAAAACATGTTAGAATGTGTAAGAGTTGGGAAAAATAATACTTGCTGTAGATCAACGCAAAGCACTACAATAGAGCTATTGAGTCTACCAATGTCTGTATCTTTTTTAAGGGCATCATACGATTGCTCAGCTTTAGAATGATGCAACTTACTATCAATTTCTATTTTTTTTTTCTATCCTCCTCTGTATCAGCTGCCACTAATTTATTATAAAACAAATCACACCGTTTGCTTTTTTTTGTACGCGGATAGCCGAAACGTAATTTAAAGTCTAACCGAAAAATATTTCTATAGATACGTTTACTGACATTTATATCGGGATATTTATTTTTAAAAGATCGATAAAGCTTACACAAATTTAAGTCTGAACTTAAACATTGCAGGTTATCTGTAGCAATACGGCTGTAATGGTTGACAAGGTAAACTATTTATGTGTTGTCTAATTAAATCTCTTACAGGGGCATCAATAACATGAGATCTATTTAAATGTTTTCCACGGTTATCTTGTAATGTTCTTTTTATTAAAATATGACTTCAAATTCTAAACGCGCAGGCGGCACACTTGATAAGTTTTTTATACTACGAGAAAAAGAAACTAAAAGCACTACCAATATTGATATTTCTGGTACTAGTTCATTTTTAGTAACGCCCAATGAAGATAGTTTTGATTTTTCTGTCGATAGTCAAATTCAAGATGTATTGAAAGTATCCAACATTTGGCCAAAATTTGGACAAAAGAACAGGCGATAGAGTTTCATGGAAAAAATCAATGGTTAAATAGTAAAAATGGGAAACTAGGATATAATACTTGTATTCAAGCTAAAAATGGTATTCAGTTTCAAAAATCTAACTCTGATAATAAAGTTCGAATTTCATCTGAGTGGGTAGGCTTTGAAATAGTAGCTACTGGGAATAGTAGAAAAAATCAATTGACTTAATTGAGAAATAAAATTAAACAACATTTAGAAAGCAAAGCTCATGTGTTAGCAGAAAACATATTAATGAAAAGCTCAAACAAAGTATGAGATAAGATGTTCGAACGTATATCTGAAACAGAAATGGATTCCACGACCTGAACCTGGACAAAAATAAAAGGAAATTATAGAAGCTATTTGAAAAGGGATTCATGAAGATGTCAATATTATAATAAAAAAATCAGGAGGAATCAACAGGCTACAATTTATGCAGAATCTAGTTGACAGAATGCGGCAACGCTTATTTGATGACTCAAAAGATAGCACAATGCTAGAAGATCTTCAGGTAATGAAAATTGCAAATTATAATAATATTAAATTTAAATTTTATAATTATTTAAACAGCATAAATGGCATTTAAATTAAATGTTTTTTTAGGTGTTTGATGAAGTGTTCAAAACGGCAACTAATGACGCCAAGGGAGAAGATGAAGTTAAAATAGTATCACGGAAATTAGGTTTATCCAAATTTGAAAGTGTAGTTGACTTCCGTTTAAGAAATGCTTTATCAAGTTTCATGAAGGCGTTAACCGTACTCCCGACTTCAACAGCTGATTGCGAACGAGGATTTTCAGATATGAACTTGACAATAACTGATTTGAGGACTAGTTTAAACATCGAAAATGTGTCAGATTTGATGTTCATCTCTACTAATAGCCCTTCAGTTGCAGATTTCAATCCACGACCTTATGTGAAGATTTGGTTGAAAGATCACCGTTTAGCAGTTTCAGCTCTACAAGGTAAGGAACGACAAGAATCAAACGATGAAAATAAGTTGCAGAAAATGTTTTTTACCAATGTATTTTCGTAATCTTTTTAATATTTGTAAAGATTGACGAAATAATATACGTAATATAAAGAGGATATATAAAAAATCTGGTTTAAAATGTTTTCCATATTATTGACACGCTATTTATCGGCTTTACTCCTATAAACCATAAAAAAAATATTTTTATAATATTAAATGTTTATATTTGATGATACAAGTATAGTATACCAGGGGTGATCAGCGAGAAGAGACTCGCGAGCTACAAAATATATTAAGAAATATGGAAGAGCCAAAATGTAAAAAAAAAAAAGGTCATAGTATGGCCGCGGTTTGGTCACCCCTTTAGTATACTCTCAAAAAAATGAATGGGAACACCTCTGTTTGTAACTATAATTTAATTGTAAAACTGTGCATATCTAATATTTTATTTCTCATAGGTCTAGTCCCATAAATATATAAAATAAAATAAAAATAATATTATTTAAAACAATGGAAATCATAACCATTAATTATTATGTATTTTAAATTATTTTATTATAACATATATCGGAAAATATTACCTAAAAGAAAATATTACTTTCATATCTGTTCGCCTAGATGAACATTACGAGCAGATGGAAGATAAAGTTGAATGGACATGTGTAGCCAGCAAATGTATAACACCGAGGTAAAACTATACTTGAATAATCATAGTTCTTAAAATCAAAATATTAAAACAATAATAATAATAAAGTACGAATGGCTTATTTGTTCCAACATTATGATGATTTATATAGTAAATGAAGTAAATCTATAAATTGTTATTACTTTATAAGGTATAGAAAAAAAAAATTATGTTTAATATTATAACTATGTACTGTATTTACTTACGATATTCTTATGCCTTAAATAACATTAAGTCTTATTTACTAATTGGAGTAGACTGTTTTCGAATAAATGCTTTAAACACACTTAATAACAATCTATATAAATATAATTTATTGCAATAAGAAATTATAATTATAAATTACAATAATATTTAACATAAAAATTGTAATAATTAATCAATTTAATTTAACACTCATTCCAAAATAAACTTCTGACTTTCCCAATTAAGTTGATAAATTACCTACTTAAATGTTGTGTAATTAGCTTATTCAGAACTTTAAACAGACAACAACCAAACGATCATAAGTCATAAGACCAATGATCTAGAAGTTAGGCTGTTTTTCTTTTGGTTTTGTGGAAAGGAAATTATAGGATTTATAAGGAACAATCATTAAATTTTTCTTTTTTTTCTTTTTGTACGCCAGAGTTCAAATTGGATTACATCCAGTCTTAAATAATGAATAAGAATAAATGTGGGAAGATCAAGAAAAATATTCACATTTTGAAAATATAAGTATAAAAACAACTAAAAATAAAGTAGTAATTGCAGGAACATTTTATTAATACATTTGGTATCTAATGTATGACATGACTAGGTTGTATTGATTAGGTATCTCAATATCAATATTGTTTTTTACATAGATTAGATTAAATATACTAAACTATCTAATTTAAATTAATACGAAAAAGTTATAACATTTCAAATAGGTTGATTAATTATTTCATATATAATATTTTTACTGTATTCCCAAAAGAGTAAAAATATATCTTTAAGTGGATAGCGGATTAGTGATTTAGAAGATCTGAAAATAAAAAAACAAAACAAAATTATAATTTGCATTTAACCCTTAAATGCACAACTTTTTTATTTTTTAATTTAATTAATAACAAAAATAAAACACTAATAAGTTACTACCGACTAAAAATTGCTTTGTTATGCAAGAAATCGATATCAATTAAAGTGTAAATACTTAACATGATAACTTGGAAGGATAAAATGTAAATGTACTCGTAGTTAATAAAGCTGTATACAATGTATACTCAAGGATTAGAAGGACCTAGAAATAATTATCTGAGTTTTAGTACACAATTTAACCCAGATAATAACAAAAAGGGTTTATTTTATGTTAAAACAATTTAATTTTAGTGAAAGAAATTGGTAATTCTAGTTCAAATATATTTGTAATGTTTTTTTTTTTCTGATGTTGTATTAGAGGTTAATTCGTATATTTATTGGTGAATTTTTAACATTAGTTTACACAGTATATTTAAAAAGTTCTGGGACTGTTAATTTTTCATTATCTATATTCCATTGATGGCACTACATTGTATAATACACATCGATAGGGACTGTAAAAGTTCAATAACAATAAATTGGTTCAGTAATCACCTGCATTGATTTGAAGTGTAAGAATTTATAAAATTGTGTAAAATTGTGTCACAATATTTACAATGGAACAAAGAGTTGTAATTAAATTTTGTTTTAAATTAAACAAAAATGCTACTCAAACATTTTGAATGATGAAAAATATATATGGTAATGTTTGTTGAAGTCATAGCAAGATTTTAAATCGTATATGCGGTTTAAATATGGTTGTGACTCACTGGAATACAATCGAAGAGAATGGCATTTCCCAACTTCTAATAATGATAAAAATATGGAACTAGTACGCTCTGCTCTGTTTTATAATCGGCAAATATATAATAAAATATTATCAGAATAGTAATTCAATTAATGAAACATCCATACTATTTTACACAAAGTTCTTTTGTGTAAGAAGTAAGATGGTAAAAGAAAAGTGTTTGCAAAGTTTGTTCTACACTCACTAATGTAGCACAGAAAGACAAGGTTTCTGCTGTATGACAATGTTCCAGCACATTCTTCGATATTGGTACACAATTTTTGGCTAAAAAATCTGTTACTGTTATCAACCATCCACCATATTGGCCAAATGTGGCTCGAGCCGATTATTTTTTATTTCCTAAGCTCAAAATTGCTATGAAAGATGATCATTTTGACAATATAAAGATTATCCAATAAAATATGACAAGACCTGCAAAGCATTACAGAAAACAATTTTTCCAGAGCCCTCCAACAACTGCATGAGCATTAAACTATGTGTATAGAAAGGACAAGGGATTATTTTGAAAATTAAATAATATTGTTTATTTTAACTCGTTTGTTATAATTTTTTTTAAATCAGTGCAGGAACTTTTTGAATATACATTATATTTCAGGTTATAAATTGTAAAGCACTAAATAATAACAGTGAACATTTAATAAATATAAGTTCAAAATACAAACCTACAGTTTATATGTCTACATTTAAACATAAACATATGCTCACGATCACGAGTATGACAAATACTCTGGCAATAATGATTGCATTTTAATTGTTGTAGACATGGTCGGGGACATTTTCGATTCATAAAATCTTCAGCTTTCGATACTTTTGATAATGTTCCTTTATGTACAAAACACTCCAAAGTTAATTCATTTCCTAAAAGAAATTATTAAATTCAATTTTACTATTAAAATAAAAATATTGAATTCAAACCTAAAGCATTTAAGTTTTGAAGAGAACTTTTAACATTGTTCCATAGATCACATTGACTTATTAGGTTATTTATATTTCCAATAATATATAAACCAATTTTTGCTCTTGTTAAGGCAACACAGATTCGATTTTCATGTTTCCAAAAACTAGCATCTTCTTTAGTATTATGTACAGTGGATAACAACACAATTTCACATTCAGTCATTGAACAACTATCGACAGTTGATACATTTATGTTTTTGATGAGTAAAGATTCTTCTTTAAGCTAAGAATAATATTTTTATAGTATTATAATAGTTTATTTGAAATGCTATTTTAAAATTAATTATTAACTGTACTTTGTTCAGTTCATTAACTTGATCTTTATGAGTTGTTAGAATCATTATGTCTTCAGGTTTATAATTTTGTAAACAAAGATACCGAGCAAGCCCAATCATAAACTTTACTTCATGTAAATTGATATGAATTTTACCATGGCATTCCTAGTTGGTTTAAACATTTTAATTAAACAAACATTTTGATTTATTACATAATAATTTACCTCTATAATATTATGATCAATGAAATACACATTTTTGGATATTCCAATAACATTTGGTAGATTATATGTATGTTCACTACTTTCCAAATGATTAGTAATGAATGGTAACACTAATGACATTATTTCTGGTCGCATTCTGAATTGTTTTGTAAGTTGATATAAAGGTAAACCATTATTTATTGTTCGCTCCATAAGTGTTTGATTGAAGTTATAATTTTTGGCCAAATTATATGATGATGTTTTTGGACGTTCTACTTTTTGATCACCTAAAATTAATAATAAAAGTTATTTGATATAATGATTAGTTAAATCAGTGGCGTAGATACAATTTTTTTCTGGGGGGGGGGGGGGTGTTTAAAAGTAAATTTTTTAAGTGTTTTTAGTATATCTTAAAATGAGGTGATATGTTATAATATTGCATTTAAAATGGTATTATTATGTCCCGTATTAAATGAAAATTATTTTGTTACTCAATTTTAATACATAACTAATCACAGTAAAATCAAAATATTTTACTAATAATATGTAAATTTTAATAAATAATAATCAAATATCATTAAAAAAACCTGGGGGGGAGGGTGGAAACCCCTTACACCCTCCCCATAACTACGCCACTGAGTTAAATATAATATGGATCATCTAAACAGAAATTACAATCAGTCAAAAATAAACGTTAAAAACAATTTGATTATTAATTTACAGAAATTTGCTTTCTAAAAATGTTTAACATATTCATTTAATAATATACTAATTGCATAGAATAATTTGAAATAAAATGTATAGTAAATTTTAAAATAATAAATTGTACACAAAAAAATGGTATACTGTCTGATATTAATTATTTATATATTAAGAATCCTCAATTTCAGTGGTCGGCAATCTTTTTGGATCCTAGGCCAAATTCACTAATTAAAAAGGATTAACGGGCCAGATTGATATGATATTCAATAAAATTTCCTAGTTTTGGAATTTAATGCAAATCGTATAAAAGAAACATTTAGGCTGATTATAGTCTACAAGTCACCACTTTCAGACCGCTGCTCTATTTAATTCAATCAAACATTGATTTAATAATATACAATTTAATTATAAAATTAATAATTCTAGAATTTATATAGCAATAATTTAAAATAACCATATGTAAGGGTAAAAATGTACAAAGTTAATAAATATTTATTTTTTTGTTTACTGCAATAAATTTCTAATTAACCCATTAGCGCCTTGCGTTGCCAAGAAACAACATAAACAATATTATAAAACGACTTAATTGAATTTTAATGATATAAGATATTATAAACTTCTAGTCTTGTTGTCTTGAACAGCTTTTGTCTTCAAAAATTAATGCTAACACTATTTTATTTTTCTTTATTTTTTTACAAGTAGTTTTAAGGTCTAATATATGTTTTCAAAAACATTTTTGTTAAAAATTAAAAAAAAAAAACTTCAACACTAATGGGTTGATAATATTTCAATGAATAAAGTATCTATTATTTATTAAATACCAATGTTTTTCTCTATTGTCGAATTAAGATTTAATGTAATATTTCTAAAGGTACTACCCAATAAATTGCTATCAATAACTCATCTAAAATATAATTTTAGACAGAAAATTGATAAAACAAAGCTCATTTTATGTAATATAATACTATTTATACAGAAAATTCTAAATGCAATATTCAAAATAAAACATTCTTTAGTATTTTAACATTACCAATTAAAATCAAATGTTGAACATGTTCAGTTAATGAAGCAACTATATATGGTTCTAATGTTTCAGTTCCTTCTTCAAAAATAACTATAAAAAAAAAAAAAAATTAATAATTCGTAAATCATTTAAATTTGAATATAGTATCTTCTTCTTTTCCTTGGCCTTTCTCTCAATTATTTAGGGTTGACCATTCTTGTCCTAAACTTCCAATCATCTCGATTTTCTACATCTCTTGTTCACATATCAACAGCTCTCATATCATTATCAATAGTATCCAATCATCTTTTTTTGGTCTTCCTCTTCTTCTTTTCTCTTCAATATTCATTTTCATAACCACTCCTATTGTTTTGTTTCCTCTTGCCTCATCACATGCTCAAACCATCTCAATCTATTTTCTCTCATCTTGTCCATTATGAATCATACAAATTACTCAAAATAAAGAAGAAATTTTAGTTTATAATTTAATTTTGCTTAGTAGCTTACTAAATACGTTCATTTTTTTTTTTTTTATTGATATATGACCAATTTGATTGCATTTACCTTTCATTCGGTTAATTATAAGTAAAAATACTTTAATAAACTTACCAATTGGTGGTTTTAAATGTTCTAATAAATCTTTGTTTTTTACTGCTCCAGTGGTGGTAAGTCCAATTACATAAATTCCATCTAATAAATGGATTGTTTGGGTCAATCTATTTTCATCAAGTTTTTTACATAACTCATTATACTCATACCATATAGGAGTTAAAATATTTTTATAACCGCTGACAATCCTTTGTACCCAATTATAGTATAATATCCATCTTTGTTCTGCTGGTATTAAATGTATGTCATCAATAATGATCGGATTTACTTTTGGGCTATCAAAAGTCAACATGTACTCAAAGTATTCATAAAATTTCTTCAGTATTGTTAATTGTTGTTTTATTTTTAATGATTGATATTCACTGCCCTCAGTAACTTGTTCAGTTAATTCTATAACACATTGTTTTATATCATCTAATATTAAACAATGTTGAGTGGATTGTACTTTATCAAATTTAAAAGTTTTTAACATCTTGTCCACAGGATATGGATGAAACAACCAGTTAAGAAAATCCCAAGAATCAACAAAAGTATTGAATGACATTTCTGGTACTACAGATTTCAAAATATTCCAATCCAAAATACCCTTATACAACTTATCACATTTTTTATAACAGTCTAAAATAACTTGCTCTTTAGTTTTTAAATTTTGTTCTAAAATATTATTTATTTTAAATTTGTTAAGCCTTACTATCTCTTTTAAACTATGTTTTTTTAAAACTTCACATTTTGATTGACTACCAATTCTGACAAGTTTATCAGTTATTTTTAGAACACCTTCTAAAAAATGATCTAGGGTATGGTTGTTATTACAAATTATAGCTATAGGGTTTTTTAACCGTCCTGTTGTATATAAATTTTCAATCATTGCTTTTATTACTCGTTGACCAATAAAAGTCTTGCCTGTACCTGGAGCTCCTTGAATCAAAACATATTTTTTTGTCAGTGCTGCTTTAAATGCTTTATACTGACTACTCTCTTGTTGTAGGTATATTTCTGTTGGCCATTCATCATCTTTTAAAATATTAAATTTATAATCATCAATATCATATTTTTGAGTATTTATGTCATTTAAATATTCAGGTGATGAAGGTTTGTTAGAAGCAAAGACTATATATTCTTTCAATGGAAATGTTAAAGGGTTCATTTGTTGTAGAGCTTTAAGTGTCCAATTGTAGGGAACATAAAATTGTTCGCATTGTGCCATTAATAAATTTGTGTTTGGTCTTATATCTATACCACCAAGCATTTCTACTAGAAGTATGCCTTTATTTAAGTATTCTATGTCATCTCTTAACACGAGCCCAGCAAAAAATGTGTTAAAATTATCATTAGAAAATAGTAATAGAAACCCATTTATAAATAAATTTATATTATATAAATTTGGGTCAAATATAAATATAAAACCTAATTTGTTTCCAAGAAATTCTCTAGACCCATCAAATAATACATTATGACACACTAAATTAGTGCCTTCTGTAATTTTATTTTTACGATAATATTGTATAGATTTTCTTAAAGGATGAATGAAATCTTCACGCAAAAGATGAAATTGTGTATCTAAATAGTGATCTTCAGATTTATAAGGACCTTTATCAAGGTTAAACGGTAAAAACTTCACATAGTCAATATCATTTATAGTTGGATGAATGTATTGCTCTCTGAATGTTTTGGAAAACTCTTGAGGAAGATCTCCCATTGTTTTAAAAATAAACTAAAAACAAACATAAAAGCCATAGATATAAACGTAAATTAAACAATTCAAGGTAATAAACGGCTACTCACTGTAAATTGTATTAATTTATACTCTTGAGAAAATTGAAAGAATGAAAAAATAGATATATGAATATTGATATAAAATCAATAAATAATCTACAATTATTTAATATCAAAGTTAATTCAATTTTTTACATTATATTTTAAATTAAAATTACTAAAGCGATAATTAGTACTAAATATTTAGACTATTCAGTCTTAATATTCATATATTAAACACTGAATAGCAATAGCACATTCATGGTTATTCTAAGAATCTTATCTACAACGTTATCAATCTATGTATAATTTTTCATGGACAATATAAATATCAGTATCAAAGTCACAGATATATATAAATATATATATGACAATTTTTGATTTTTTAAATATTTTTTACTAATTTACCTTAAATCGTTGTTTTAATTGATAGTTAGGCGTCTTTTATCTAGTGTTCATGCTTGTATATAATAAATATTGATATTATTATTTTTAACATCTGTCGCTTATCTATTGACCGCTGATATAGATAGTAAAATATAGTTTGTAACCGGCAAAGGAAATCGAACCTGTGCCTAATGTTTCACCTAACCAACTATTATTCATCTTAAAATACAGTCTCTTAATTTTTTAAGATAAATTTTAAAATTCAAACTTATTTTAATTCGTATTGAAAGTTTATAATTGTATTAAGTGTTAAACATTTTAATAACAATTTAAGTGGATTCAATTATTATATTAAAAATGTGTAATTATTGATCATTATCAATGAATAACTTGTTGAATAATAAATTTTTACGTTTTGGCGTACCATTTGCATTGTTAGTCGTCGGAGGATCATTTGTACTGAAAGAATTTTCTCAAATTCGTTATGATCATCGAAAAACTAAGTTTATTAGTCCAGATGAATTAAAGAAACAAGGTATTGAAATGAAACCACGAGGGAGTATTACAATAGAAACTGAGTATAAGAAGCTTATTGAACAAGTTAACTTAGATGACTATCAAAATAAGAGAATTCAAAGACCACCAGGATATGAAGATTGAATATTTATGTATATATATTTTTTTTAGTTAAATATAGTAAGATGTTATTTTATTTCAATAAATAACAAATAAAATATGTACACAATTAAAATATTTAATTTTGTTTAACATCAATCATTTGCTCCAGTAAAGTCATTAAAGTTGTAAATCTTTCTTGAATCTGAAAAATTAAATAAGATTATTTTATCTGTAAAAATATGTGTACAAGTAAGTTTAACCTCTGAAACAGATCTTTGAGGAATTCGTCTGTTAATAGTCTCTAATAAAACTTCAATATCTTCAACTCTTTTACAAGTCTGTAATATGATTTTGTCTTCATCTATTGTCCATTTGTTTATTGATTGTTTTTCTAACTCATTATCTTGTTTCTGTACATCTACATAACACTTAGGTAATTTTTCAATTACTCCAGTTTTACTAGTAATATGTTCATTTAATGAGATATTGATATCATTTGCAGTATTGGAAGATAAGTAAAATTCAGTTTGTAATTTAGTTGAAATATTTTGGTTATCACATTGCTTATTACTGACAATATTAGTATCCAAATCTTCAATAAACTCAGTTTTGATTTGTTTACTAGTTTCATCAGAATTTTCATGGACCATAAGACTAGTAGAAGATGGTTGTAGTTGATTATAATTTTCAGAAAAATCACTATTTGAAGATTGACTAGATAATTCTTTTTTGATTTTATTTGATATTTCAGATACACTATCAATAGATAGAGTAGAAGGTATTAGATTAAATCCTGCTTTTCTTTCTTTTGATAAATTATTAACACTATTTAAATGAAAAATATTTAAAGATCCTTCATTGTCAATTTCATTGTTTTTCATATTAGAATTGAAACTATCAAAATTTGTATTTTCAGAACTTAATTGATTAACGACTACACATTCTTTTGGTATAATACTTTCATTAATATCGCCTTTCAATTTCTTTTTAGGCAACATTTTTACACTTGATTCTGCTTTAGGAATGCAAAAAAATACCATTTCACTGGTATTCAACTCTTCATTAGTAACATGGACAATAGACTTTCCTGTGTCATTAATTTCTTGGTCATCTTTACACTTGGGGTTTTCTTCCTTTTTAAATTTAAGCTTTAAAGACTGTACTACTTTTGATTTTTGACGTTTTTTTGGTTTTATATCAATTAAATCTTCTTCAGACTCTATATTATATAAATTTTAAACAAATTATTCACAGTTATTAGTTTTAGTTCTTACGGGTATATACCTGTTCCTGTACTTCCTTTAATATCTTCTGCTGAGCCAGGAGAACTATTTTTAATTAAATTTTTTCTATTTTTTTTCTTTACTGCAACATTTTCTTCAGTTTTATCAATTTTTGATTGTACGACAAATGGATCTGCTCCTTCAAAATTAATTTTCGCTAATTTTAATCCTTCTGGAGTATCAAAATAAATACGACCTTTAAAAAACTAAAACATTTTCAAATTTAAATTTAATGAAATATAGAATTACTTATTATTAGGGCAGAGAAGTTATAGGATTTGCATATTTTTTTCTGAGTCTCTATTTTAAATCAAACCAAGGTATAAGTATGACTCATAAGCCCCATAGTTGAAATATTAAATTTTTTCTTGCCTATTTTAATAATTAGTTTTAAAAAATAATATTTTTTAAACCTAAATTTAATTAAATATAAATTTAATTTTTTTTCATATTATGATATTAAATTAATTATTACAAAACTAAAAATCTATAGTTAAATCTTTATTTATTGAAAATAGAAATCTTCTGAAAAAAAAATTTAGAATCTATTGTAAATATTTTTTGAGAGTTATGAAATTAAATATATATGTTTTAATCTTACAAATGATATTTATTTTAATAGCTGACTGAAATATATCCAAATAATCCATTAAATATAAAAAATAGTAAGTTGTAACCTTGAGACCACAGGATCTACAATGTATATTATCTCCAGTTTTATGACACAAACAGTGACATATATTCAACAGTGTTTGATCTTCTGAATCAGAAGGTATTATTTCTTCATAATCTATTCCACAGTTAATACTTTGATCAATGTCTAAATCTTCCCAATTATCATCAGAAAAGAAGCTAAAGTTTCATTTTATTATTTGATAAGGTTAAAAATAAAAATTCAACAAAATATGATACAATACCTTTCAGGAGGATGTTCTGTTGGTATTAATTGAAAGAAACAATCAACTAATATTGGATTACTTTTGAGTAAAGGAAGCATAGCCGTATGTACATCTAATGGAGTAATATTTTCAGTTTGGGATAAATGAAACAAATTATCTAATATTTTACGAACTTGAGTCGGTTGTTTTTTCATACAAACCTAATCAAATTTAAAAATAGATAAATATAAGAATATTCTAGATTATTGAAGCAACACACTTGTAATTTTCTAATAAATTCTTTTATTCTAGTTAGTTCTAAATAATCTGTAAACTTTCCAATAGATAAAGCTTGTCCTGGAAGTAAAAATCCTAAAAATTCATATATTAAATCTTCATTTTTATCAGAAAGTACTTCTGTTATATGTTGATACAACTCATTAATATTGCTATCATCAGCTTCACTAAAAGAAGCTAAGAGTTTTATAGCTAGATCAAATGATTCTGAATCTAGTCTTTCTCGCATTTTTTTTATATATCCTTCAGCATAATCTATAAAAATATACAATGTTAAACTTCATAGTTTGAATTATTAAAATATTTACTCCAATATTAAAGCAATATCAATTTTCATGTCCCACTTCAGAACTTTTACACATTAATTAAAAAATAATCATTTGTACAAAATGATTAAGTTAGTGAGGACACATCATTTTTTATTTAATTTGTTAACATAATAATTGTAATTGTTAATATTATTATAATTATTTCATTGTTAATTTTAATATTATACTTTTAATCAAATTAAATTTTAATTTGTTTATTATTTAAAATAAATGCGCTGTATTTGAAATGGATTAAATTTAATATATATATATATATATATATAAGAAATAAACTAAAAATACAATTCTTATATCTATACACAGATATAAGTTAAAGTGAAATATCAATAAGGCAATGATTATAACATAATTATTTAATGTATTCTGAAATATAATACCTTGAGCGTATTGTGAGTAAGATTGATCATTTTCAGGAAAAATAGCTGCCAGTGCTGTTTCATATTTTTTTTTCTTCTTTAAAATATTTGAATTAGATATATCACTCTTTCGTTTAGGAGTTCGATGATCAGATTCAGAAGTGTTCTTAAAAATATAACCAAATTATATTTAATAAATAATTAACTAAACAACAATAAAGTCAAATATAATACATCACATTTTATATTATTTGAAATGTACCTTTTTGATATTAATAGGTTTGATCGATCTGAAAACAAATTTAAGTAGTACATTCATAATAATAAAATGTTTGTAATTGATCAGTACTTACTTTATATTAGACTCCTGATGAACATCATGAGAAATCTTGAGTTCATCAATATTATCTATTTGGCACTGGTCCATTTTCTTAATTTCAAGTCTAATATATTGGAGAAATCCAAAATTACCTTAATTTTTAAAAAATTTAAAGTTATTGTAATTCTAAAATAATAATATTAATGCCTAATTAAAGTTTTTATTGGCATTAGTGTAACATTACTTAATTGTACTTTACGAGAAACAATAAATAAAAAACGATATTACTCTTATCGTTGTTACAAAATTATGATAACGGCCAGCTGTTTTTCCCTAAAATACTATCTTGCATTACTGTTTCTACAACTGTTTCTACTTTCCAGGAAAATTACTTGACAAACTATTATTTGTTTTATTACTATCTAATATCTATATTATAGTAGATACATTCTAATTTGTTGTGTACTGTATAGTTATTATAGCAACAATTATAAAATATATTTCAAATTCATATTTATTATTTCATTTAGAAGAAAGTTGCTCCATATTTCTCTATCGACAATTTTATTTATTAAGCATTTTAAAATACGAAGATACTGTATCCCTCTGTAACTAATATAATGGATCAAGTTTTTTAAATTATACAAATAAAGTAAGTATTAAATTAAAGCTAAAACTTTATTTTTAGTTATAATATAATTATAATTTTTTTAAATATTTGTTTATATTGTGATTAAAAATATATTATTATTATACAATTAAATAACTATTAATATATAAGTATATGGTTTTTATTAATAACATTTTATATTTTTACTCATTTATGCATAAATAATATCTAGGCAATTAGTTAACCATAATAATTAATATAATTATATAAATCTGCAATGTCAGTAGTATCTGTCATTTAGGTACACTAAAATATTTTGTAATTACAAAGATTAATGATAATTGGTTATCTGAAGAAAAAAAATAACTTTCCAAATATAGTTTATATCAGAATGTTTTTTAGATCATGGTGTGTATAAAAAAATAATTAATGTAAAATTAAAATGTTTAAACTATTTTTTTCTCTAAATAATTTTAAATGTATAAAAATAATTAAATATAGTATTTATGTTTAGTATCCATTTATAGAAATATAAAAGAGTACATCTATGCATACTTTTTAAATTTAGTTTGAAACACAAAGAAAGATTTTAGTTTTTTAAAAAATTTGATTAAAAACAAATATAACAAATTTAAAAAAAAAAATTGAGTTATTATTTTTAATATTATTACTTAATGTGTGTTTTTGTAAAATCATTATATATTTACAATTATAATTGTTGAACAATTAAACTAATTTTTTACATTCTATAATGTCTGTTTACAAACATAAATAGTATTTTTGTGTAGGAAATAATAATACTTGTTTATTTTTTTTATTAATTATTTATAATATTTAAATTTAGTTTTTTAACTGTTATAATAAATGGATTTATATTGCTATTAGTTGTTAAGATTTATTATAATATTGTAATATTATTAAAAGCTTATCTGATTTAGTACAGTATTAGTATTATTATTTTGTATTCATCATTTTTTTTTTTTTTTTTTTAAGAGGCGCATCAAAATATTTGCCTCAGCAATTATAAATAACAATACAATTTAGCTACATAAAACAACTAGAAAAGCAATATTAGATAATAAACATAATTAAATCAAAAAGCCTTCTGAGAGGAAGAAGTTAACGATGGAAGTAATAAGGAATGCATTAAGAAATTGAAAAATATGTGGGAGGGTAAAGGGAATATTATAAGAAGAACAGATATTGGAGAGAAGCTGGCGTTTAGTGAGAAAGTCCGGACAATTAAAGAGGAGTTGGGAAGCATTGCATATAGCAGGATCAACGTGTTGAGTACATAGAGGAGAATCATTAAGGGATAAATGAAATGAGTGGGCTGAGAGGCGGTTGTGGCCGAACCGGAGGCGAAAAAAAGAGATGATGACTTTACGGGATAATATTCATCGATTAATAGTAACTATTATGTAAATTTATAGAAATTCTTAGAAATTAAATTCATTATTATGATTAAATTAATAACTAAGACTAAATAATAATTAATTTTCCTTGTTAGGAGTAAACAAACTGTTTAGTGATTTTTGTGAATTATATTTTTATACTGTTATAAATTTATTTAATAAATTAAAATATCTTCAACTTACATCCAATGATTTGTTGTAAAATATGTTTACTTATGATTGTAATTATAAAATAGTTTTACTAAAACATTTTAAAATACTCATGAAAATTATGTTAACATGCAATAGTAATTATATCCCAAAAGTATTCTGTTATATAAATGCTTTATAATCTTTTTTTTTTAATAGATGAATAAGGAGATTATATTATTATAATAATTAATTAGTAAATTTTCTAGAAATGCGTTAGTTTATCTTCTTAATATTTTTTGTTTTAATATTAAATATTATTCATTATAGTTATATTTTTACACATTAAATGGTAATAAATTTTCCATGACAATCCTAATGAAAAGTATACTAATTATTTACCTATTCATTATGATATGGTTATTTACAACTTTTGATAGTACAATGATAATTTTAATTGCTTAAATGCTATACTTAAAATTGTTTAAGATGTGTTAGGTATTCATCTTTTATTAGTATATGATAAAATTATCTTTTTAATGATGTTTATATGTTTAATTTACACTATTTAAATTTATCAACTAGATTAAATAATCAAATATACACAATGTATATTTAGTTTGGTTTTAATAAATATAAAGATTAACTTTTCAAGAGTATGATAAAGCAATTTGATTGTAATATATTAAAAAACATCAGTGGGGGCATTCCGATGATCAATCGATTAGTTTTCAGCCTGTAAGTGCTTCATACACCTGTTACAACAAATATGTAATGCAATTTCATAATATTATTTCCTAGTAAAAAATCCTTATTGTTAATATTATCTAATCCGAGAAATATATATTTAATATTATATTCTATGTTAATGAAACAATAAGTTCTATTTTTTTTATTTATAAAATTAGTTTCTATGTCATGTATTTAAGTTAATTATGCCTAGACTTCAGTGGAAATTTAAATCAAATCATAGTTCTGTAGAATTATTACCATTATCTCTGAGCTATAATGTAAGCAGAAGTTATGGAAGCATTTTGAGTTATTTCCATTTTTTGAAAAGAATCAATGGCGATACCCAGGTAACATGGCATCATATATAATACTAATTACTTAGTAATTAGATTATAAAAACTTAAAAATAAATTAAACTAAAAGTAAATTAGTTATTAAGTGGTTAACTGATAAAAAATTTTAAGTTTGTTTTAGGATTATGTAATTTTGCAACTTTAATAATGAATAACAAGTACTTTCATTGAAATTCTATACACCTTATATAGTAATCTGAATAATGTTAAGTACATATTTAAAAAAAAAATCTTAATTCAACAAATAGAATAAACTTTGAAGTTGTTTTTATAATTGGTGAAAATATTTTCAACAATTTGTTATTTTATAAACTTTATAAATAGTTGTAAATGAGTTATAATTAATTATTTATATTTAAAATAAGTAAGTACCTTATTTTTAAATATTAGTTTTTTTATTAAATTTGAGATATAAGGATTAGTAACATTAAATAGAGTTGGACAACATTTTAATTTCAAGCAATTCTAAATAAATTTTAGTTAATTATGTAATAATGTAATTAATTAAAGACATTTTTGAACTTTTGTTTATCAATTTGTATATCTAAATTGAGAAACTTGTGTTTACATTGTATATAAAATTAAGTTATAAAAAACACATTTTCTTATCCTTTAGATACATAACTAAAGAATTGAGTGAAAGATTTAACAAATAACTCATTTATTTGCTATAATGTGCGAACAAAGGCAAATTAAAAAAAAAAAACTCATTTATTAATTTTGGTTGAGAGTAATAAATAATAAAACTATATAGAATGTTTATTCTACAAATTGTATTAATTTAGTAATATTTTTACTGTTCAACAATCAACTTAGTTTAGAAAAAAAAAAATTTGAGATGAAATAATATGTATCAGTTGTCGTGGTATTTTTTATAATAATTTAATAATTATATTCATATATATACAAATAATTTTTACAAATAACAAATTATAATTGTAAAAAAGCAATATTTATAATTAGTTTATTTTAATTAAACCGTTTTAAAATATGTTTTTAGTTCACCAATAAGTATTTAATGATAAAATATTAAAAAATTTGTGATTCCTAATATTATGGTAAAACATTAAATGCCAACATTTGTACTATAGATCATAGTAAGTTATTATGTCAGACAACGAAGATCGTCAAAGTGTACCAGGAAACATTCGATACACTAAAGGTTTTTCATTTTTGCGTTTACAACTTCCAACGACTAATGAATTTAGTGATTTAAGACGACCACAAAGATCACATAGTCAAGGTTTTCTTACTGGATTGTCAAATCGTTTACCATCATTTTCTATTACTGGTCCATTATATGATGATAGTCCAATACCGCCTTCCGATAATACAAACAAAAGATTCAGTTTTGCAAATTTCAGAAAAATTTCATCGGCGGTCAGTAGGATTAGAATTTTTTTTTTTAACACAAGCCTTACTAAAACACTGATTTTCTGCTGTTTAACACCTAATATTGAGTGATTAAACTGTTCAAGCTTCATTTTTTATCCTGTATGTAGTTAAATAAATTACAGTAACATTCATGTTCCAACACAGCACTCAGCAATATATTGCAGTTTAATAAATATTTATTTGTCATAATCTAAAAATTAATTTTCTTAAATTTTTACTTTTTAGTAGAAAATTAAAATAATAGAAAGCTTAATGTATATTCAATACAACAAGCTTTGTATTATTTTTGAAAAATAGTTCTATTTTATCAGATTAATGCTATGCTATTTATCACTGTTTTGAATGTTTATCCTATTTTACAACTACATCAGTACATTTTAAATTATTATTTATCCTATTATTTTTAAATATCAATCACATTTTTGTAATAATATCATAGGCGCAACTAGGGTGAAAAATCTGGGGGGACTACAGCCCTCCTACCAAAACTTAAAATAACTTGTAGATTACTCTTATATACAAGTTAATTTTAGATTCTGAGCCAAATTGTATTTACCGCAATGTGTCTTTTTTTGTATGTGACACTTGTGAGTTAAGTATGCTTATGCGGTATGCTATGTATGACATGAAATATTTATGGGGGAGCTAAATTTTGGTCCGGGGGCTAAGTATCTTGTAAGTATCATATTTACTAGTTGAACACAAAAATATATCTTGTACATCTTCAAAATATTTTATTATTTTATTCATATCTAATAATTGCTCTTTTTATAATTGACAAATATATAAAACCAAAATAAAATTGTTGATCGTGATCAAGTAAATTTTCATTTTTGTTTTACGCTTATAATTTAATATTAGTGAAGTATTAAATAGCTTGAAATATTTCAACTTAATAATTTTGGTATCTATTTTTGTATATTTCCATTTGTTATAACCCACATTGTTTATTTATAATAAAAAATGATGTGATGTATTTTTAATTTTAAATGTTTCTTATTTATTTTTAACTGCATTATTTGTTTTGTTTAGTTATAGTTAATTTAAGCTAAAATTGTTGCTTGTTTTATGCTATAATAATCATGTTTTACAAATTAATTGTTACTAAGATTTTTTTCAATTTTTTTTTTTTAATCTTAACATTTTCAAAATAAGCTAAAAATAATGGAATTTTATTCATACTAATTAATTATTTTCTTATTTTGTGTAGAATTTGCACAATAGTGATTCAATGGTTTCGCTGTGCTACCGAGCTTTACATAATTACATCTCAGAAAATAATTTAGAGGGTCTTCAAGGATTTCTTGAAAACCGCAGAGTTCTTGTTGATGATCGTGACGATGTACGATATAATAAATTTGTTTTATTTAAATTCATCCATTATTATATTAATACTGATTATTTAGAATGGAGCTACTGCTTTACACTATGCTGCTTCAAAAGGAAAATTACTATTTTTGAGAGAGCTTATTAATCATGGGTCCGATGTAAATATTGAAGATAATGTAAGTATTTTTAATTTTAGGAGTTATAACTATATAGTCAATTTAAATATTTTATAACTAGATTTGTTGAATTCAGCAATATTTACATTTTAAATATTAGCTTTATGATTATTTTATTTATAAAATATGAAAAACAAAACTTAACTTGGGTGTTCTCATTTAAAACAAATCATAATTTGAAAATGTAAAGTACTAAATGTTGTTAGCGTTGTATTTCCAAGTAAAAAAAAATAAAATATTGAAAATTGTAAAGGTTCTATTTAGAAACATCAAAGTAATAATTATCATATATGTATATAAGACATTTCTTGGGAAAATATTTAAATTTTTTTTTTTTGTTACCTGAATTTTAATGTTGAAAGAATTTCTTAATTGTAGCTGAACACAACTTCTATGCATTTTTCCAGACTGAGGAACAAACTGTTTTTTTCATTAGATTAAATATATTATAATTTATATTTGAGTTAAGCAGACTTGAGTAAAATACTTTTTAAAAATATTTAGAATAAATACTCGAATACTTACAAAAATAGTATTCCGAATACATTATTTAGAATACTTTAAAAGTATTCCAAATACTTTTAAAATACTTCTAGTTTTCATACTATAAAAATAATAGATGTCCACTCAACAGAAATATTTGAAATTGTAGACAAAATATATGTTATTTTATTGTACTTTTATATTACATAACTGTTATTGTTTATGGTTTACAACAATAATAAATACCTGATATTAGTTTATACAAGATACGACGGAGAAGTAATAAGATCATTTAAAAAAGTGACAATTTGACAGTATTCAAAATACTTTATTGAATACTTTCAAAAAAAGTATTTAAAAAGTATTTTGAATACAATATTCCGAATATTGTATTCGGAATATTACCCAAGTCCAGAGTTAAGGTCTATAAATTGTTTTTAAAAGTAAATTTAAGAAATCTTGTCTTAATAATTATATTTAGTTACATAATATATATTTCTATTGCTAAATATTATAAATTAATTTATCAGGATAATTGGACAGCATTGATTTGTGCTGCTAAAGAAGGTCATTCTGATATATGTGCTGAGTTATTAGACCATGGAGCTGATATTGAACACAGAGATATGGTACATATTATCTATTTATTTATTTTTTTGATAAAGTTATTTGTAAGTGTTTATTATTTAGGGTGGATGGACACCACTTATTTGGTCAAGTTACTGTGGTTTTACTAATTTGGCCAATTTGCTACTGGACCGAGGGGCTGACATAAATGCACATGGAAATTTTCATATTACTGCATTAGTATGGGCTGCTGGCAGAGGACACACAAAACTTGCTTGTAATTTAATAGCACGTGGTGCTAAAGTTAATGTTGGTGATAAGGCATGTATCAAAATGATGTGAACAATATTCTTTTTAAATAATTGTAAATGTTGAAATGTTTTAGTATGGGACATCTGCTTTAGTATGGGCATGTCGTAAAGGTGATGTTGAATTAGTTGATACATTATTAAGAGCTGGAGCTAATGTTGATACTGCTGGAATGGTAAGCTGTTTAGTAAAATGATACTGTCAGAAATGTATGAAATTGTTGATTTATTTTAGTATTCATGGACTCCATTATTAGTATCATCTATGGGAAACCATACTGAAGTTGTAAATCTTCTCCTGGAGCGAAAACCAAATGTCAATGCTTTAGACCAAGATGGCTGTACTGCTTTAACAATTGCATGTAAAGAAGGATATTATGATATTGCCAATTCTCTTTTAAATTCTGGAGCTTACATTAATATACAAGTAAATAAATATAGGTACTGTATATGCAATTTAATCAATTACTTAATCAACTATAATTTTTAGGATCGAAGTTCTGATACTAATCTCATACATGCTGTTAAAGGAGGCCATCGAAATATTGTGGAAGCTTTGCTTAAAAAATATGCTGATGTTGATGTTATGGGAAAGGTATATAAATATTTAAATTATGAATTTTTAATTTTATAAAAGTGCAATAAAATAAAATAATTTAATGAATTATGTCATCATCATCAACAGCTTAACGATCTATTAAGGACCTGTACTGCCACTAGTAAGCATCTCCATTTTTGCTCTGACCAAAATCCAGTCTAACATTGCATTCTCTTCTATCAGTTTCATATTCTTTTCTACCGTGTCTTTCCAAATTGTTATTGGTCTTCCAAGTGGACGTTTTTTATTTATTTTACCTATAAGAACATTTTTTAATAAATTTCCATCAGATCTCAACTCATATCCCAGCCACTCGTTTACAACCCAGTCGTTTACATCTTATGTATTTGAGTATATTTGGCTCTTCATTAAGTCTTTTATTATAAATTCCTAGGTTGTCATTATATACAGTTCCATACATATTTCTTAGTACTTTTTTTTCCCATTAAACAAGTTTTCTATTGTTGTCTTTTGTCGTGGATCAATTCTTACATCCATAGGTTACTACTAGTCTATGGTAGCTTGAGTACAAAATAGTTTTTGACTTAATGAATTATGTTATTAACAATATTACATAACTACTTGAGTTTTATTTTCTAATTAATTAGGATAAAGTTATTGGTTTTAAATCATGTTCTAATAATATTTTGAAAAGCTGCAATCTTATATGTTTAAATTTGAAAAATTATTATATCTAAATTATTGTTTATATTTTAGGAGCGGAAAACTGCATTATATATTGCTGTAGAAAAAGGAAATACAGCAATAATTAAATTATTACTTGGTGCAAACCCTGATTTAGAAATCTCAACAAAAGTAATGGATACATACATAGATTTAACATTTGATGTATATTAAATTATTTCACATTTTTTATTAATAAGGATGGTGATACACCTTTAATGCGAGCTGTCAGAAATCGAAATTCTGAAGCTGTTCAACTATTAATTGAAAAGAGGGCTCGTGTATCAGCTACAGATAAACGAGGAGATACTGCATTGCACATAGCTATGAGAGCTAGAGCTAGGGGAATTGTTGAGATTTTGTTGCGAAATCCAAAAAATAGCCAGCTATTATACAGACCAAATCGAGCTGGTGAAACTCCTTACAATATGGATGTAAATGCTCAAAAACCTATTCTTAGTCAAATATTTGGTTCAAGGCGTCTTAATACTAATGAAGATAATGAAAATCTATTGGGATATGATCTTTACAGCAGTGCATTGGCTGACATGTTAAGTGAACCTACTTTATCTATGCCTATTACAGTTGGATTATATGCTAAATGGGGTAGTGGCAAATCATTTTTACTTAATAAATTGAGAGGTGAGAAGTGTAAATATTTTATTATTCCTTTATAAGTATATTTTTGAAATATTTTAACTATATTAATTATTTATTATGTTAAATCATATGATTACCTTTTTAGAGGAAATGAAAAATTTTGCTCATCAATGGACAGATCCATTTTTCCAATTTCCTTGGCTAATATTGGGTGTAGCTCTTCATTTTTGCTTCATTACGGGTACTGTGGTTGTGGTCTTAACATCATCATCACTTATAGCAATTATGACAACATTTAGTTTATTAGCTGGTGTATTTTTCTTTCTCATTATGATATACTATTGCAGTCATAGGTTAGTCTTAATTTTTTTGAATGATATATAATTTTTTTAATTATTATATAATACTGCATTCATTTTATAGTAAATTATATCATTATATAATTTTTCAGACTTGATTGGGCTTATAACTGTATTAGTTATTTAAGTCAAAAAGCGGTTACTGCCCGAATAATTCTACAAATAATATTTTGTCATCCACCTGGTTCAAGTTGGGGCACATCAGTTACTGCTCAACCTATAAGGTATCCAATATTTTAATGTAATTAAATCCTATTTTGTTTTAAAATTCAAACATTTATACATAAATTATATTTTTATCTTGTCTATAATTGTATCTTGAATATTTAAATTTAGGTTTTATTTTACTGATCAAACACGAGTAAGTAGTACAACACCTGGAGAGAGTACCATTATTCAAATGATTGGCTCATTATATGATTCAATAGAAAAAGATTTTGGGTCCATTTCCACTCGTTTATTTAGAGCTTTTCGTCCAAAACCAGGTTAATTAATTTAATATATTACTTATTATTAATAAAAAGTTGTCTAATATTAATTTGTATATTTTTTAGTAAAACTTACTTCGCCTTGGAAATGGCGCAAGTTATGTTGCATGCCAAACATAATACTATTTGAAATGTCATTTATGTGTGCTTTATTAGCTATTCTTATTATTGCTATGCATAATGGTACATTGATTTTTATAAAGTAAGTTTTGGTTCTATCATATAATACATTTTATTAAATTTGATTTGATTTTTCATTCAGTGATTTTTCATTTGACAAATCTATTGGAAATGTTATATTATTTTGTTGTGGAGTATTTATACTATTCCTATTGATTGGAAATTTATATACATTCAGTCAATTATTACAATCATTAGTATTTTCACAACGTAAACAACTGAGAAGAGCTACATCTAGATTAGATACATTGAAGTCTGAAGGATTTATACAAGCATTAAGAACTGAAGTTAATTTAATGACAGAGATGGTACTTCTTTTACTGTTTATGCTTCAAATCTTTTTATACTAATTATATAAATTCATTAAAAGGTCCGTTGTTTGGATGCATTTACTCAACAACAGACTAGATTGGTGATAATTATTGATGGTCTGGATTCTTGTGAACAGGACAAAATATTATTACTTTTGGATGCTGTACGAATGTTATTTTCTGAACAGAATACTCCATTTATTGTAGTTCTAGCTATTGACCCACATGCAATATCTCAGGTTCAAAAATTGTTTTATTATCACAGGTATTTAAACAATTCTTGACTAAATTTAAATATTTATATTTTTAGGTGATTGAACTAAATAGTCGACGATTGTTGAATGATATGAATTTTTCTGGTCACGATTATCTTAAAAATATGGTTCATTTGCCATTTTTCCTTCAAAATTCTGGTTTACGTAAAGTAAAATTAGCCCAAAAGTCTTCCCAATCTCACAGAAAAAGTGTTACAAATCAAATGGATGAAAGTGGATTAGTACATTCGGTAAACTATTGTGATTTTTCTTTAAAAATTCTATTTATGAAATATATTTTGCTAATACAGGCTTCAACAAGACGATTATCTAATGAATCTACTACTTTAAAACCCACAATGGGTTCCTCAGGTGGACTTAGTCGAAGCAAGGGTAACATTAATTCTACTAGGAGTAAATTAAAATCTAGTGAGAGTATTGCAAGTAGCATAGCCAGCAATATACACAGATTAGGCGGTCCTCAAGATCTTTCTAAAATATTATTAACTGATGATTATTTTAGTGATGTAAATCCTAGAAGTATGAGACGTTTAATGAATATTGTTTATGTCACAGGTATATAGAAATTAAAAATATGTATATTTATGAATAATATTAAATTCAAATGTTGTTTTAGGTCGTTTATTAAAAGCATTTCAATTAGAATTTAATTGGTATCATTTGGCTAGTTGGATAAATATCACAGAACAATGGCCTTATCGCATATCTTGGATGATAATTTTCCATGATACTAATGAGGATACTATTGATGATTCTATGTCACTAAAAACTTTATATGAAAAGTTGTGTTTATTTTATCATGTAATTATTTGAATAATAAATTGAATTATATTGTATTAAAATTTACAGAGTACGTCGTCAAATACAATTTTCAAAAGACATAGATCCATTAATGGAAATGGATAAAGATGAAAAAAAATTTGAAATATTTCTTACTTTTCATCGAACAACACTACTGGTGAGCGATCTAAGGATATTCTTACCATTTACTATTAATTTGGATCCATACTTGAGAAAAGTTATTAAAGATGAAATGCAAAACTCCGAAGATTCCAATCTTTTTAGGCCAACAATTTCACATAATGAACTTCAAACACGAAGAGTACATAATCAACTTTTAAGAAGACAAGTTAGTTAATATTTTAAAACATAAAATATACAATTGTTATACTTTTATAATATTTACAATATTATTGTTTTTGCTATAGCCTAATCACTAGTCAAAAATATTGTTTAGTAAAAAAATAGTTACTAAACACTTTTTGTGAAAGCTAAAAACTTTTTTTCATTTGATTGAATCATTTTTGGCTTCTTTTCACTATTTACTTACAAAATATATAATTCTGAAAAAATTATAACTTAACATTTTTAGTAAAAATGTTTTCAATATTGATAAGAACCATTAATATATCTAAATATTTATCTATACAATACTTATCAAAACTAAAGTATTTGTACACTAAAATTAACTTAATTTGTTGTATATATTACTTCATTCTTTTTTTAATGATCAATTGTAATTTAATTTAAGAAAATGGGAGCTAAATTATCACTTCAACAAGAAACTTTACCAGCCACGTTGATGTTAAATGAACCACAATCTGCTGTACTGTGGAATCAACAAATTCAAAATCGATGGCAAACATCTTATGATGAATTACCGAGCCAACTTCAAAATTTTTCCATTTCATCATTATCAGTAAAATTGAATAACCAATATATATTTCTATAAATATTATTAATTAAAATTTTTTAGGATGAATTTAATAATATTAAACTATCAACTTCAAGTGTAGATGATGTTTGTAAGTTATTAATAAGAATTAAAGATTTGCAAGAATCAAACATTCCAAAATACACTCAAATAATTAAAGATAACAATCTCACTGGTTGCGTACTTTTACATTGCAATTTAAATGATCTAAAAAATGTAATTATATAGTATTTATAAAAAATGTTATACACTATAATTATATTTTGCAAATTGGTTTTATTTCAGGTATTAAAAATGAATTTTGGCGATTGGGAACTTTTCCGCATAGTTTTATTAGCATTACGAGATAAAGAATACCTTATAAGTAATGAAATGAACAGCAATAATAGTTTTAAACATACTAGATCTGGTAGTTCAAAAAATCATTCTCATGAAAGAAGAGGTATTGCAATTATTCTATTTTAGATGATAAAACTTTACTATCAATATTATTAAAATATTTATTTATTTTAAAAAAAAAAATATGTATTTACATCAATAAATAATTTTAAATATTTAGGATCATCCAATAATAGTAATAATGTTCAAGGAACTTTGAATGATAAGGACCAGAAAGCATCAAAAGTGTCATCAGTTGAAAAACAAGTAAAGAAAAAACATTTATATATACCCCCTATTTACTTTTGTAACAAATTAGAATGTAAATTAATAATATGTAAGCACATATAACCAAATTTTCAGATAAAGTAAAAATATGTATTATATTTCATAAAAACAAAATCAAGTATATTATATCATTAATTATAAATACTATTTATAATCCATGGTTATATAAAATAAAAATTAGTTCACAGATGTAATTTATCGTAAATAAGAAAGAGAATGAGAAAATAAAGGATTAAGAAAAATGAAACAGATTGTCAAACTAGCAATTTTTTTCTACATTATGGAAAATTAAAAAATAGTATTAGTCTTTGGTGATATTACACATATTTCAATCCTCCTTATTGACAGTTAAAAAAAAAAACTTTGTATAGTATTTATTTTTATTTATCACATAAAATATTAAATAAATATTTTAAATAAAGGTAACATTGGAAGAACAAATGATATGTGGTGCATTGCAAACTCTTAATGAAGAAGCATGTGAAGATGTTCTGGAGGAATCTGAAGAACAGGGTACTATAGCAGCAGCTACTTATTTACAAGTTCCACAGCAGCCTATTGACATAATTACAGGTGAGCAGATACATCAGAGTCAAAATGAACACAACATTAATAATTATAAATTAGGAGAATGTAATTCTAATGTAATCATAGATATAAATTAAATTCATTTTATGACTTTAAAAGTCATAGATTCTAATTATTGTTGATGGAGTGCATGGTGAAGAATTTTGAGCTAGTGCATGATTTTATTTTATTACTTTTGTTTATCACAATTTTTTGCTTTTGATTCAAAATTATTGAAATTGTTATTTAGGACTTAAAATGGACTTTCTCTTTTTAATAACCTAAATTAACTCTATTTATTGTTTATATATTATTTTATCGGATGGAATAATAACTAATAATAATAATAATTAATAACCACTTTTTCTATAGTTATTTATTTATAATTTGCACAATTTAAATCCAATTTCATATATTAAATATTTTATTGTAGCAATTAGCAATGGATAGATATATCTTCTTAAAAGGCATAACAGGAACAAATGAATAGATGTATGTACTTTATTATGTAGAATTTAAGATTAGCGCTTTAGTTTTGGGTTTTCCATAGATGTTGTTGGTAGTTTAAATAATTATGAATATATTTTTGTAAAATATTTTACTGAATGCTGAAATAGTGAATTATTTGATATTTAAATTTAAAATAAATTGAGTAATTTATTTTAATTTATTGACTATACACAGACTTGAGTAGTATTCCGAATACAATATTTTGAATTCTGTATTCAGAACACTTTTTAAGTATTTCGAATACTTTTTAAATACTTTTTTTGAAAGTATTCAATAAAGTATTTTGAATACTTATAACAAGTATTCTGAATACTGTATTTCGAATACCGTTAAATCATCTCCTTTTTAAATGATTTTATTACTTCTCCATCATATCTTGTATAAGCTAATATCAGGTATTTATTATTGTTGTAAACCATAAACTATAACAGTTATGTAATATAAAAATACAATAAAATAACATATATTTAGCCTACAATTTCAAATATTTCTATTGAGTGGACATCTATTATTTTTATAGTATGAAAACTAGAAGTATTTTAAAAGTATTCGGAATACTTTTGAAGTATTCTAAATAATGTATTCGGAATAAAATTTATGTAAGGTATTTGAATACATATTCGGAATACTATTTTTGTAAGTATTCGAGTATTTATTCTAAATATTTTTAAAAAGTATTTTACCCAAGTCTGACTATACATTTATGCACATAGGCATGCATTTGTTTCTGTTCAAAAACTAATAAAAATATTCATGACAAGTATTTTAGCTTCTACATTTTAAATAAAATAATTTATTTTATAATTTATGTTATTCTATTTATTTGTACATTGTTAAATTAGTTCAAATTATAATAATTTTCAAACATATTAATTAATATTTTTATTAACAATATTGTAAATATCTATAAAAATATTCTTTATTTAACTGCCTAATATTAACGTTTAATAATGTGTAAATCAATTTAATTTTTATTTTTAGAAGATTAAAATTTTAATTTTGATTACAATGATAATTTGATAATACAAGTTAATAACTCATTCTTTATTCAAATTATCCAGGGCTAAATGTACTTTTTTAAGAATAAAATAATTATCAATCATATTGTGTGGCAAATAGGTATTTCTTAACTTATAAACTGAATTAATTAACATTTATTTTTATTCATAATTATATTTAGAATATTTTAATTGATTTGTGGTGTATTATTTTCCTCTACTTAATCGACTTACAAATGTAAATTTCACATTATATAAAATAATACCAGTTGGTTGAAAAATAATGTTGCACTTCAAAACCATTATAATGTTTTTAACTATTGTTTAAGTATTGTGTATTTGTTGATTTTGTGTTTAATAATATATCATATTTTTATACTCCAATATACCTTCAAAACAACCTAAAATAAATTACTAAGTAAACAAAAAAAATGTGTAACCATTTTTATTAATTTAAAATAAAAATGTATTAAAATATTAAAAAATAAAATTGTGTAAGATAGATCAATTTTAGATTGTGATTTAAATGATTAATGTATTGGTTTTATCATGACGTGTGTTTTTTATATTTTGTGTCTATGTACATAATTTTGACCAAAAACATTGCTCTGATCATCACCATTATGGAAGGTTATTGTTAGGAAATTATGTCATTTGGGGTCAATGGGATAGAGGTTGTTTTTAAATTTCGGGATAGTTTTCTGAAAAATTGGAACAAATTGAAAAAAATTACAAAAAACTTTACAGTATATATATATATACTATATATTGATTTACAGTTTATATTTTCATCAATATTTTTGTTAGATATAGATAGATTATATCATTTTTTCCAATTTTTTTTTTATTACACAAATTAAATTTAATTATTAATTAACTCTTTTAATCTTGATATTATTTATGTTGTGTATATATTTTATAATTATCATATTTTTTCCATGTTTTCTACTTTAAGAATATAGTGATTATACTAGATAAAAATTAGTAATTTATGTTCTTACAACATACCAAATTATTTAATATTTAATTGAAAAATTGATTTTAAAGTAAACTTGAAAGGGTCTATTAACATATTCATAAACTATTATGATTCTTTTCTCTTTTGTTGATGCATACACTAACGATTTTAAATAATCCGATTACTTATAAAATTGAATTTTATTATTTTTGCTTAATTATAATGTATCCATATAAAATATATATTGATTATATTAAAATTTAAAAATATTTAAATTATTTCATTGCTATTTACTAAAAAATCAAATTTTTAAATTTTATTGGTGTAATGATATCTGTAATAAAAAAAAATCATATCTCAATATTTATAATTTTGTTTACATATAAATTATGTATATAAATAATATATAATGATATATATAAATTAAAGTATATAAATTAGTGCACTAATTTATAATTCTAGTTTAAGGAAAAAGTATAGAAGACTGAAACATACATTTTAATTATGTTGTTAATATAATTATACCTATTTATTAAATATCTTGATTAATAAATTAATAAATAATACATTCTATTTATTTTCTGTTTTAAAATAATATAATACATAAAATATTTGTCTATATTTTGTAAATTAAAACACTAATCGTTATAATTTAGAAGTTCACAAAACAAACCTATTTAAAAAATACCATAAAACTTTTATTAACATTAAACATTTGACTGGAGTATAATTTATAAGTTAAAGTATAATTTAAATCTGAGTTTTTAATGACTATACAAAACTTTGCAATTTTTCTAAAATTTAAAATTTCTATCTAATTTATAAACAATAATTTTATTTCTCTTTAATTTAACTTAAAATCAACACATTTTACCTCAGTATATAATGAAGATCTACAATTAGCGCTATCATGCAAATGTTGTGCTATATTAATAAAAAAAGTCAACAAATTTTGAATAATATTCCTATTATAAATTGTATATATTTATTTAAAATGTTATAATTCATAAATAATATCAATGTCTCGCCATTGTTCTGCCTTATTATTTAATCATAATATACTCATACATTTAAGACAAAATTTTTAATTCAAGAACTGCTAATTCTTAAATATATAAGTGTATTATTATTTTTTTTTTTTTTTTACATTGTGAATTTTGTTCAAAACTATTCTTCTTCTTCTTTTCCTTTCTCTCTACTATTTGGGGTTGGCCTACCTTGTCCTAAACCTCCACTTGTCTCGATTTTCTACATCCCCTATGCACATACCAACAGCCCTCATATAATTATCAATCATATCCAACTATCTCTTTTTTGATCTTCCCTTTTCTCTTCAATATTCATTTTCATAACCACTCCTGCTTTTTTTGTTTCCTCTTGCTTCATCACATGTTCAAACCATCTCAATCTATTTTCTCTCATCTTGTCCACTATGAATCACACAAATTACTCTAAATATGGAAGGAATTCTTCTTTCTCTTTTCTCTTCAACATTCATTTTCATAATCACTCTTACTGCTTTTGTTTCCTCTCGCTTCACCATATGCCCAAACCACCTCTGTCTATTTTCTTTCATCTTCTCATCTTTCTCAAAATTTAATTTTTTAAAAACTATTATATCATAATATTCATTTAAGTAATGTTTTGTAATTAGTTTACTTACATTTTTTTTGTTTATAGTTTTATTAAAATAATATCTAATTTTGTATGTTCTTATGTTGATAATGAACAGATTAGTACTGATAGTTATATTTTCAAGTTCAAATTTTTATAACAATGTAGTTATTTTTATACATTAGGTGAGTAGGTGAGTGATTCTCAGACATACACAATTGTTTATATGTATTAATGTGTATGTATTAGTTTGATACACACTGCATAAATGCATACTAATTGATCAAAAGTTGAAAAGATTTGCAATTTAACATTATTTATATATTATGTATATATATAGAGAGATATTTTCATGTTAAAAATATCCAATTGGTAAATCTTATTCATGCTATAAAATGGTTTATTATTAAATCCATTTTACCAAATAAATACTAAATTTTATGTTATTAAAGTAAATAATTTTTGCTGGAGACAATAATGACACTAATAGGTATTAAAATTTAAATTTTTAATAGTACCTATTACAATTTGAACTTTTTAGTAATGAAAATACAAACTATTCAGTTCTATAATGTTGATTTTAAACTTATGATACATGGTGGTTATTTCCATAATTCAGTCGTTTTCAAATTGCAATATAATAATATTTAAATATGTTCATATAAATCTTCAATCTAAAAAATAAAATATAAATATTATAATATTTAAGTTAGAATATTGTAGATTTTCAAATTTTTGGTCGAAAGATTAAAAATAAATATTTTAATTCGTTCAAATTATGAAGCTCTGTCAATTTTTCTGAAGTTATAAATAGATTTATTATTAATGGTAATCTTTTGGGACTAATGCATTTTTGCATTTTTGATTTAACTGAATTCTTTTGATGTTTTAAAACCTTTATTTTTATATTTATGGAAAGATTAAATCAATATAAAATTAGTTATATAATTTATATTTATAATATCTACATATTTTATTTTTCTAAATTATTGATGTATTATATTATTATTTATTTTAATTTAATTTTTGTTCTATGTACTATATAAAATGATTAATAAGAAGATGAATGATATTATTTTGTTGCCCTAAAAAAGTTTTTGTTAAATGTTAAAATTAGATAACCCACATGTCACTCAAAATAAGTTTGTAATAAATGGTTTAAACCCATATGAATCTATTTTTTCATGATGGTTTCACATTTTTTTTATTTGTTGCTGATAATTTTGAATTGTTTTTATTTACTGTAATAAAGTAAATTTAACTCTAGAAATCTACATTTTTAAAAACTTTTATAAATATTAAACTATATTTATACTTAAATTGTTCTAAAACAATTTTTTTTAATTATTATATGAATTTTAATTTATAGTTTGTATGCATATTGTACAAGCTATATGAAAAGTATCAAATTATAAAAATTATATATTAATATTTTTAGTGTAATTTATTTATTTATTTAAATGTGTATTTAGGATATTTTCAATATATATATATATATATATAGAATACCCTGTAGCTATTTAAAATATTTCCTTCTTTAATGGTTGAATAATCAATTATTATAAAATTTATTTTGATATCATATTTTATTAATAAAATAAAATACACCTTAAAATAACAAAATAAAACTTTGTAAAAATTTAATTTTTTTTATTAATAATTTAAAAATAAAAATTTTTTTTAAAGTTTTAAATGCCTTATATTTTTATTTTTATTATATTTATAAATTACTTATATCATTTTGAATAAACAGAAGTAGAATATTGTACATATAGATCTTCCCTAGAAATTAATTTCTACAACATTTTTATGACAATTAAGTTTTATTTTTACAGATAATCAATGTATTTTACTTACTTTTTCCACTTTTACCATTATTGGTAAAATGTATTTTTTATACCAGTGTACTATTTTTAAATAAAAATGTTATTCTAATTTTTGTCCCAATTGAAATAAGTAAAATTAAACTCTTTTCTGTAAAATAAGTTTTAAAAAAAAATCTAAATTGTGCCTTGGTTGTTTATATATTTAATAATTTTTTATTTATTGTTGATTGTTGCAACTGATTTTAATTGCTGACTGACATATTCTTTATGCATATACTAAGTAATAGTGCTTTAATGGTGGTATTGTTAAAAATAATTGATCACTTAAAATTAAATAATGAATAACAGAACTAATGTACTTCTTAGTCATTTTAAAAATCCTATTTCTATTTTTAAATGGATACAATAGTTGTTAATTCAATAATTTTACACATTAAATAATTTTATTAATTTTGAATTTACCAATATTTTACAAAATTGTTTAAAATTTGTTTTGGTTCTGAGCAGTATCAAAATTATGATTTTTTTATGTTTATTATAATTAATGTTTTAGAATAAATAGTTCTTATAAGATTTGAATGAATGTTTTAATTGTATATAGAATGATATATGATTGAATGAAAATATGATTTAAACTATTTTATATTTATTTGAAATATTTACTGGATGATAGTCAATAATTAATCAATTAATTTGGCAAGTTTCTAAAAATTTTCAATTATTTTATAATTAAATTAATAATTAATAATAAAATATACTTATTTACTAAATATTTAAGATATTAAATCAAGACTAAAAAAAAATCGACATGAATGTATACAATTTGATGTTTTAGATATTAAAATTTTTAATTGTTTTATTCAAAATATACAAAAGTTATTATAAGCATTTAAAATTTAGTATTTGAAAAATAACAAATAAAAAACTATGGTCCGTCCCAAATAAATTTTTGAATGTAATTAATAAAAGCTTATTATATATTTTAGCTTTAAAATATAATTATATATATCTAAATAAATTAGTAAACATAGCAAGACAATTGCCTAAACCTGTAATATGTACCCAGTGACGGCATGACGGTGGTTTTATTGAAACAGTTGCTTTATGACTAAAATGGGGTGGATAGATGGTGTTGTGTGGGAGAAAAAATTAATATATAATTACACATTTGACATATATTATTATTACAATTATTATATTATAATATTATTTTGTTTGTACCCATTAATTTTAATATTGATGTACTTACAAGTAAATTGTAACTTGTGTATTGTGACTTTGGGGGGGGGTACTCTATACATGTAACTGATTCATTAGAAAATAAACTTAATCCCACCATTATATTTACCCTTATTTATATATATATATATATATATATATTTAATTTTGTAGGTGATGGATCTGTATGTAGTACAACTTCAAGTACTGATAATGGAGGAGATATTGATGTATTTTTAGTTCAAGTAAAAAGTTATTTTTATCTTTTAATTATTTAACTATTAGTATTATTTATTTTGTTATTCTTTTATCAGAATTCACCACATCATAGTATAGTTCAATATCCAAACTTTCAATATGATGGAAACAATTCTATTTCAGCAAATTCATTGAATAATACTCCAATTGCTTCAAGAAAAAATCTTATAGACTACAAGGTTTGCTAATTATCAATGTTCTTATAAAACAATAAAATACATTTTTGTCTTAAAAATTGATTTGCATTTTAGACATGCATTGTAACTACAACTAGTGAAAAGGGTGGAAAACCATTTTTACTTAAATCCATCAAAAGACCAGCATCTTTAGTTATGAACAGACTTGATGATTCTGATTCAGTACCTGAAACAAAAAATCCTGTACAGGTATGTTTATACATTATAAATGTTAATTTTGATTTTTAATTATAAATGTTTTTAAAAAGGTGGGCGGAATTGTAAAACAAGGTATCGCAGGCTCAGTTGGTATGTTAAGCTGCTTAGTAGCAAGTTCAAGTTGGATAACACCCCCAGCTGTTACTATATCACCAGTTTGCAGCAATGAAAAATTACCAACAAGTCCACCTCAAGATACAAATCATTCTTCAGCAGTATGTGCAACAGCAAGTAGTGATGATGAAAGTACTCCTTTAGTATCAGATATGTCTTCACCACAATCTGACCATTTACAATCAAATACTGACCGGTAAAAATAAAGTATTTTATTTAAAAATATTTTTAAGTATTGACTTTAATTTTTTTTAGATCAGACAAGGTGTATACATTCAATGGCATGTACTATAAAGAAAATTCCCAACATTCATTGACTTCTCAGTTATCTTCAAAAAGTACTGAATCATTGCAATTGAGATCAGAAGGGGGAGGTTGTTCATTTGATGAAGATATAGATCTTTTACATAGTATTAATACTATTCAATCTGGATCTAGAAGAGTATCATTTGATAGCGATGTTAGTTTATTAGTTCATCCATATGACTGGAATGATCCAGAAACTATAGTATAAACACAAGAGGGTCATATTATATTTAATTCAAACTACAATTTGACTAAATTTTAACTTCTATATGAGCTCATAAATTCTGATTTAAATTTATTTGGTTTTGTATTAAACTTTATTCATTCTATTTTAAAACATATTATGTTATAAAATGTAATATTGTGTTCATATTTTTTTAATGCTTTATTATTAATGTCTTAATAACATAGTTCAATAAATATACTCAATCAAAGATATTTAATTAGATTAATGAAACATGTATTTACCAAAACTATTTTATTCGAATATGTTTAAAAAATATTTATAACAAATTTATACTTGTTGTGTAATTATAATATGTAATACATTTTATTATAATAAATATTTTCCATCATAAAACCTTAGGAAGAAAAAAAATGTAAGGTATGAAGTTTAAGTTATTGGTGTTATTTTATCTTTGTTTTCCATGTAATAATAGTAATACATTATTTCAAGTATAAAATACTTAATAGAACTGTCATTGTAAATCTTATATAAATATATTTTCTTACATACTAATTAAAAACCACACATATTCTTTGTATTTTTGTATAATATATTTATACAAAATGTATAGTAAGAATTAAAAAAATAATAATAATCAAAACCATTTAATATGTTCACTCAAAATAATTATAGATTTTAACTGACCATAAATAATTATTATTTCTAGCATTACAATGTTTTTTTAGAATTTAAAATTATTATTAAATTATTGCTAGTCAATTTAAAACAATTTATGAAATTATTATTTAGAAATTCAATAATAGTTAAAAAAATTGAACCATAAAAACTATATAAATTAATGTTTTTCATTAATTAATAGCTTCTTCTATTTATCATTATTTGTTTAACAATTTATTGCAATATTTCTTTTAATTTTAGTTAAGTGATGTAAACAAAATAAAAACATAGAAATTGTGATAACAAAAAATGATCCTAATTTCAATTTCTACAAAGTATTTAAAAATACATGTGTGTATATATTAATTTATTTTTAATAATTTAACTTTTTTTCAAATTTATTTACAATGACAGTATTCTTAATTAATTAGATTGACAACAAACTATAACGATTAATGAAAGTATTATCTAATTTTTTTATATTTCTTATTAGCACATTTATACCAATATAAAGAAAAATCTTGTATGCCTTAATTAAATAATTTTTTACGAATAATTTGATTGTATCTTATTTAAAAAAAAAATTATAAATAATTATTATTATAGCGATATCAAATTCAATCGTTTAAAAATTAAGAAAGTTAATGTTACATTTAAAAAAAAAATTAGATTTTAGGATTTTAAACATATCCAGAGTTAAATTTTTATTTATATTGTTATCATAACACTGTTAGATATATTAAGTATAATTTCTTTAATTTTTCTCACAAAAACTGTTAGATCTTTAAATATTAGTCATAAAAATCATTGTGATACTAGTTTACTATTATAATTCAGATATTTCTTAAGTTTAATATTATGAGTGTTTAATTTAGTATTGTAGCAACTAATACAGAAATAGTGAATTTTGGTTATCTTATACTTTAATATGAGTAGACAAATTATTGTGCCTTTTAAATCATTAAATTTAAATCAAACTGAATTAGGTATACCATATTTTGATTTAATTTTAATACTAAATAATTACATTGTGAGTCTCATAATTTTTTTATATTTTCATTACTTTTTATTGTATATTTTATTGTTCCTTTTTTAATATAATTTTAAATGTATTAAAAAAATAAGAACCTAATTATTCTTATTAGATAATGCTGATTAAAAAAAATTGTATTTATATTCATAATTTAGTTATTAAATTGAATATTCAATTATATCATTTGAATTGTATGTAGAATTTTTATGTATTCTTAGCACAGATTATATGAAAATATATATTTCATATAATCCATGTTCTTAGTTTAAAAGTTATTTTATGTGATTCTCAAAGCAATAAACTTTCTCTTTTATGTTATATATTCTTTCAATGTTTAAGTATTAGTTTGTTTATATTTTTTAAATATTTATAAAAGGTATTTTACTTTCTTGTATCCTAGTATAATAAATTATGTATTTTAGGTATTAAAAATAAAAAAATTACTTATAAAATATGTTATTTATTATTTTATTAGTTGCTGATTTTATAAACCTGAGTTTAAAGAATTCAAAAATTGTGTACTATTTATTAGTTCAGTATAACCAAATGCATACTATAATATTTTGTTAATCAAAAGTGTTTTAGTCACTCAGGGGCGGAGTGGTTCAAAAATTCTTACCAAGCAAACAGGTCACTTTTCCAAATTTAATTTCTACTATTTATTGTCTTATTAGTTGATAATATATATATTACATATTCTGTGCTAACCATTTTTCTGTTTAGAGAAGCATAAAATAATTTGTTGTACTTACTTATTGGTAAAAGCTATTTTACCAAGCTATATTACCAATTTATTTTCATACACATTTTATATTCTTCCAAACTTCTTTTGTAAAATAGTGTCAACAATAAAGATGATTAAACATTATATCAAGTATTTGAACCAAAAAATTCCCTCTGAGTACATAATTGAACATTAGTATTATTTTATAATTATATAAATATATAGTATATCAATGTACAGTTCATGTTAGAGGTACCACTAATTATTTCAGTTGGATGGTATTATAATGAAATAAGGGTTTCAGGGAATGAAAGAGTATGCCAAAATATACAATTCCAGGCATATTTCAATTTTTTTACTCACATGGGCAATGCAACTTAATTTTTTTTTTAGATTTTTCTTTTTTTTTTTACTGTTCGAGTATTTTTTCATACAATTATTGTACAAACAGTTTTTATTTTATTAGAAAATTGGTAAATTTATAGTGTGTTGAAGAATATTTATAAATAATCTGGTTTTGACGAAATTTGAATTATGTTCATATTAATTCTTGAAAATCGAAATAATATCTCCGATATTGTTAAATACCTATTTGTAGACAAATATTTTATATTTACAAAAATATTTTGTTTATTTTAGTTATTATTGATTTGTAAAGTGTAATAAATTGTAGATATTAGTATAAATTAGTAAATTAGTTATATATTTAGTGTTGAATATCTAATATAACTGACTACTAGTTCATAATTTGGTAGGTGGATGAGATCAATGATCAATTATCAGACAATAACTATACACAATGCTCGAAATGGAAAATTTTCTGAACCGGAACTGTTTTTTTTTTTTTAGTATATACCACAAGATTTGGGGCTATAACTCACCAAATTTATAATTTCTCTTTCCTGAAGTTCTACCTATTTTAATACATAAGTTGTAACTATTATTTTATTTTGTTTTAGTTAAAATTATATTTTGGCAAATCATTTTTTTTCATCTTTGATGCTATGTGGAGTGCTATATCCACAGACGTTTTATCAGAGTGTAAAATGTTTCTCTTATTCATACCATTAGAAAATTTGTTAGTCTATTAGGTATCTATTTCATTTGGTAAATCAACAATAGACCTTTGAGTTTTTACAATTTTATAAATAATTCTTAAAACTTTTTCAGTAGTAGTGAACTTTGATTTCAATACTTTCAATAATTTGATTTCAAAACTTTTTTCTATTTGTTTTTCTTTCAATTGTTTATGTAATTTTAATGCTTTAAGATGAGCGTCAGATTTTTTGTATTCAAATATTTCTTTTTCTCAAACTAGATAGACATTTAGGTTTCTTTTGACTTTCGATTCAAAATTATAGAACAAGGTTTAGAAAAGCGAAGATTTATGTCAACAACAGATAATCCTAAATTTTTTATATTTTCACAAATCAAACAACCTAATGCTTTATTTTTAACTTTTAAAATGCACATACCTATTGTGTAAATAAAGCTAAATTACACTATTGGCGGAAGGCGATTATCGTGTAGATAAGCAATAGATATACTTAAGCATCGCGGTCGTTTAACGTTTATTAAATATTTTACAATGAACAATTCTGCAAAATGCTTAAATTTTACCAAAATATAGTAGATACAGTAAACATTTGTTTGATCCGGAACGGTAAACATATTTTTTTTACGAACCGGAACGCTAAAATAAATGTTGTCATGAACCAAAACTGTGATCCGGTCCATTTCGAGCAATGACTATACATCAGTACACATATTTTAAATAATTTTTATTGTGGGAGTGCAGCGACCAATTTTTTTTTTTCATAAATGGATATTGAATACTTTTATATTACCCAATTATAAATCCAACTAGTGAAAACTAGCAATTGCGCCTCTGTCAGGATCTAAATCATTAATTTTTTGTTCGATAACTACCTATTATAAAACCCAAATTCTTAGGAGAAAATATTTGGCAGCAAATATTAGACATTTTAAAAAACTGATAGGCATGATTACTATATTTTCAATAGTTATTAATAAGTAATTCAAAACATAAAGATAAAAACGAATAAAATATTAATACCTAATATAAACAATTTTATTCAAAACTAACGCTTAGATTTCTATTTTTTTGTATAGAATAAATAGGTATGTTAAAATATTAGATATTAAAAGTAAATTTTTAGTGTGGATTGGACTTGCCATATATGCACAATAATATCACAAATTATGTTCAATTAAAAATAATAAAATATTAATTATTTTTAACACACTACAAGCCACTTCCTATATAAACAAGCCAGGCCACCAGGCATTGTCCTTTGTCATGGGGCCTGTTCCACCAATACACTTTGCAACTTTTCACTTAACACTTTGCACTTTTCATTTGTATTTTTGTTTCACCAAAATATGAAAATGAAAAATGAAAAATGCAAACTGAAAAATGAAATTTTTACCACTTTTCATTATGTTTTCTATGTTTTCATTCCACAATTATATTTTTTGATGAAAAGCTTTAAGACTTTTCATTAAACATTGATAAAAAATACAGACAGAAATTTTACTCTATAAAAATTTGCAAAGTTATAATTTTTTTTTTTTTTAATAATTAAATTTATCAAGATTCACTTGAGTCTTTTGTAGTACTTAATCTTAACTAAGATTAAGTAGTATTGTCAATTATGTTACAATTAGAATGGCTCTTAGATGATGATATTTATGATGAAAGGCGATCTTAGCGTGTATATAGAGATCGAGTATACTTCGAATTATGTGACCGTCAGTACCGTCAATGTTTCAGACCAACAAAAAAATCAAATAGCGTTTATTTTGAGTAAGATTGGACCTATTCTAACTCATACGAGAAAAACGAAATAAAGAAATCACCGCAGAACATCAACTATTAACGATATTGACTGGCTTGGAAACACAACAACATGGTATAGGAGATATACATGGAATACCAACTTCATCTGTCAGTAGATGTGTTCAAAGGGTTGTTAATGCAGTTTTTACCGAAATGTTTTCAAATATTATTAAGTGGCCTAATAATCCCGTTAATATACCTACGATGTTCCTTGACAAATATGGTTTTTCGTGTATAGCTAGCTGAATTGATGGCACGTTAATAAATATTAATGCACCAAGTATAAACGAAGAACAAGTTATAGATAAACATGGCAACCATTCAATCAATGTGACAATGGTTTGTGGTCCAAACCATGTATTTTATGCAGTAGATGCAAACTGGCCTGGAAGCGTACATGATGCCAGAGTATTAAGAAACACGAATATATTTGATGCTTTGGAGAGTGGTTGGTGACCATTTCCTGAGGCAGTCCTATTAGGAGATAATACATATCCAATGAAAGAATGGCTTATTTCGCCACGTCATCAAAACTCGAATGATAAAACCGAACGACGATTCAACCGCAAATACAAATTTACACGTCGATTAATAGAATATAGTTATGGAATTCTTAAAGAAAGATTTCCATGTTTAAACCATTGTTTGTTGAGTTGAAACTGCCGAACACGTCTTTCTTTTTTTCGGATTGCATTTAATAATGACAATTTATTCTGATTTTTTAGTTATTTTGTCATTTTAGCAACACATAAAATTTAAAGCTGAGTAGGTATAATAATGCTTGACGATTGACGAGCAAGTTTAAAAATTAAAATCGGAATATCGAACGATGATGAAAATATAATAAAAATATAAAACACAACATAATGATAAAAAACGATAACAGCTGTTAAATAATATGATAAGAAATTGAAAAGTGGTAACGTAATTTTCAAAACGTTACCACATTTGAAAAGTATACAATTCTCGTATGTGGAATGAAAAGACTTTGCATTTTGCATTTTTCAGAAATTGAAAAAAGCAAAGTGAAAAGTTGCAAAGTGTATTGGTGGAACAGGCCTCTGGTTGCCTGTTAAGTCAAGCCACCCCCGTGGTCACTATACATATAAAAATAGATAAATTTGGTCAAATAGTTTTAAGAAATGTATGTAGTTTCACAAATCCAATTTGATTAATAATTCTCATTTTGGTAGAACTTCCCACATTTCTTTTTTTCAACCCATAGTTAAAATTTCCGAATGCGTAATAGTTACAAACCCACTTGCTAGTTGCCACTCAACTGATTTCAAACGATAAATACTTCATTACAATTGCCCTATTAATTTAGAATACTTACAAAATATGTAAAGTTTTATAATAATCAAAAAACTCACAAGTAATATGATTATTGAATAAAGTAATTATAATAGGTATCCGTTATAACATGATGTATGTATAACATCAAGGAATTAATGAATTTTCAAACACCAAAACCAACAATGTTGCCATCACAACTCCCCATACGGGAGCCAGCAGCAAAAAAAAGCGTCGTGTACAGTGGGCTTAAGATAGTTATCTTAATTCATGGAAATATTTAACATATTCAGTATGTTTCATCAAATATTTTCTTGGCTAATCAAAATTATATTAAGTTTTTCAAACTATATAAAACGATAAAATCAAAAAAAGGTACTCGTCGATTTTAGACCCATATTTAACATAGCCACATAGGATAGGTACTGCACTGTGTTTATGTTATGACATCATGTTTTCAAATTTCGATAATAATTGGTATTATCAAAGATGAAACATATAATTATCCTATAACGTGTGTTATCTACTTATCTAAACGAAAATATTGATTATACACATTTATCAACAATTTGATGTAAATAATAATAATCATCAACGGTAATTTGTTCATTAATATTTAAGTACTTACTACACATTTTTTGTACTAATTAAATTTAAAATTTTCAATAACTACAATAAGTATTTTATAGGAAAAAATTGTAATGAAGTGTGATATTTGTAAAACTAACGAAACCAAATATAAATGTCCTAAATGCAGAAGTATAAAATAGTAAGCATTATATAAAAAAAATTAAAATCAATCTTAAAATTACCTATTTTTTTCAGTTGTTCAGTTGCGTGTTACAAAAATCATTCATTAGATAATTGTACATCAGACAGCCAAAATGCATCAGTTGAAATGGTACAGAATACACAGTTGTATCCAACTGAAGATACTATCCCTCCAGAAAAATTGAATTTACTTTGTATGTATATACCTTGTTATTACATGTGATGTACTAAATCTAGTTTTTCAGGTTATTGATAAACTTATAATTTCATTGGTTTTTTACTGGTAACATGACTACTTAAGAATTACACCATAGTCTAAATTTATACGTAAAAGTTATTTCAAGGTTATTCTTATTTAATTTTAAGTAGAACTAATAATGAATTGGTTTCACCTTATACTACTAAAATTCAATCTCTTCCACTTGAACAGTTTTTATCGATGATAATTATGTCAATACTGGCTAATGTATATTCAAATATTGACTTACTCTATGTATAAGATTAAAATTATTGCTATTGAAGTTTAATCAAACAATAAAAATATGATGTATACTACATTGATAATTGTAGTACTAATACATTTTATATTATTATTATAAATTTTAAAACAATTATAAATCATTATTTGTTAGTTTATTAAATTTGTAAAAATGTATTGAATGATGTTTGTTGGTATTTATTAGGCAATATTCCAAATTAACAATAACTGAACTAAAAATCCATTTTCAGTTATTTTTATTAGCAACTGAATTTTTGGTTGTTGTTTAAAATGTTAAGAAATCTAGAGATATACTAAAATAAATTACTAAAATTATTACCTGAAAAAAGTGTTAAAATATTTATAATTTACTTTATACCTTGAAGTTAATATTAAACAATAATTTTTAAATTTATTTATTCATTTTAATTTTAAATTACAAAATATTTTCAATTTCATAATTTGAAGTAGATTGTTTTTTTAAAAATATCAATATTTTATAATTTATCATGCAAATTGTTAATTCATTGTTATATTAGGCTAAACCAAATTACTTTTCAAAAAAATACTTCCCAAAAATTTTAAATTAAATTTATCACTTTTTTTTTTTTAGGTTATGACACACATTTAAAAGAATTAGTTTCTAATTCTTATTTACAAAAAATAATGGAAAAAATAGACAACAGTACTAATCCTAATGAAGAATTAGAAAAAGCTATGATTGAACCTATGTTTGAAGAATTTGCTAGACGGTGTATAGATATTGTAAGGAGTGAGAATTCAAATTAAGGATTAAAATCAAAAGGCTGAATTCTAATGTTTTATATATAAAATTTATTTGATCGATTTTCAATTTTATGTTGCTATAAACATTTAGTTGATATCAATTGAAAATATGTTTTTAGTATTATAATTTTTACTTAATAAAATATTTAAGAAATTTAGATTGTGTAAAATCTATTTTAACTTTTTAATATCTATGACATATTATATTAGCTATTGATTCCTCATTGACTTTGCTATTCATTAAATACTTAATGTATTTTGTTTTTTTAAACTTGTTTGTTATTAGGTTACTCAAAAGATTACATGTCTAAAAAAAACAACTTGATTAAACTCATTTTTTATCTGATAAAGCTATTAATATTTTAATTGAGACTATTAATAGCTATCAAACAGTTTTTATTACTTTATTTTATTTTTTAGTTACTTACTTTTGCACTATTTTATTAATATATTTAATTGTCAGATAGATACATCTAAAATAAACATACAAAAATTAAAAGTTAATAAAATTACTTAATAAAACTATAATATATTGATTTTTGTAGTTTATTAATTTTATTGATTTATGAATTGGAGGAGACTAATGTTAATATTTTTTTTTTATTTAATTATATACCAAACACATTTTTATTTATTCATTTCTGGTAAACAATATCCTAGTTTAATTTTTCAATATTTTCCAAATTATATTTTTATATGTGCAATGTGATATCTTCTTGGTTTTGGTTTAGGTCTTAACAAATTCAAAATCAAAATCGCATTTGACATCTATATTAAAATATATTTATTATGATAAAAAGACAAATAATTAGTACATTAATATATTTATTTCTATAAATACTTGTAAATATGAACAAATCAATGTAAGAGTGATGACTGGATTTAAAAATTGTTCCTCTAATTTTTTAACTACATTAAAACAACCCCCATAAAAATGCGTTTCCCAATTATAATCTTCATCATTATTATATTGATTTAGACTGCATAATTCTGGTAATGGCAATTTTTTTGCTCTATAACTATCTCTTCCATATAATCCACAGCATGAAAACTAAAAAAAAAATAGTATATAAATATTTTACAAATTAAGTAAATGTAGAACTTATATTTTTAGAGTATTGTTATGTTAATGTAGTTTTTAATATTTTACATTCTTATATTTGTATCTAAAGTGTTATAAAATAATAACAAAAAAAAAAATAAATAATATATAAAAGTAAGTATTAGTAAAACTAAATATAGCAAAAGTACAATAAATAAATTATTTTTACATGGTGATTATCAAATGTTAATGAAATTAAAACATTACGACAAAATTATACTTGTATTTTATATACTTTTCTTTAATATCTCGTAATAAAAAGGAAATTTATTTTCTTTTATTCTAACTATTATATGGGATGTTGCATTACAACAAATAACTAATACTTCTAAAAATCTTCTGAGTTTAACAAAAAAACTTATTTTCAATAGTGCTCTTGTACAATTTTATAACTCTTTAATAAATTTAATGCTTCATGTTTGATAATATTTTAATGATTTTAAAAAAGCAAATACATATGACTGAGTTAATCGAAAAAGTAGATACTTGGATGGTTCAATACAGCTATAATGCTTAATTGGGAAATGCTCATTTAATTTAAAAAGACAGAAGCAATGTTTTTAAGTGATATTAATTGTGTAATGTGTGATAGATTTACGCCTAAATTACCTAAATAAACAAAATTGACATACTAATAGATAAATTGAAGCAAGAAAAAAATTTGGATTTTTGTTTAAAGAAAAATAATATGTTTAACCTAATTAAAAATTTACTATAGATATTTGCAAAAAAACTTGCTAGTCATGTATCTAGTTATGGATCCCGATAATTTGCCAAACGAATAATTTCAATTTCATAGTTTAAGATCTTTTCATCATATATCAACAAATTTCGCTAACATAAATCCAATAATAATATACGAATATCACATGCATTAAAAAAAGTGGAAACGTGTCTACACATTTCGTGCAAAGCCTATTACAAACTGATCAAGTGAAAAATCATTTTTATCATTGAAAATAATATAAAATAGAGTACGTTCTACATCTGGCTAACAATATAACTAATTAAAATAAACTATCCGGAGATATTATTTATCAAAGCGATACACATCTCACCTGAGTTTGACAATATTATTGACAATGCTCGACTTGGAAAATTAAAGGGGGATTCTATTTACTTTAAAAAAAAAGAGCGTCCCCAAAACTTGTTAACCGTTATAATTATAACATAATAATAGTAGGGGGATGCTAAAATTTCTGAAAATTAGTTGGGGTACTCCGTCCCCTTGCGTCCCCCCTCAAGTCGAGCATTGATTATTGATTATTATTATTTTTATTTTTATTTAATATTACTATTGAAATTTTCAGAGCAAAAAACGATAAAATATTTGAATTAAATTTGAATTGAAAACGTTTAGTTTTAAATAATTATTATAAATTTCAAAAATACAATTAGTTTTTTTAAAAAATGCCTACTTTTTAATTTGTATCTATACTGAACTATCAATATCATTAAACTTACTGAAAAAGTATAGTGTTTTTGTAGGTATGTATATTAAATAATTATGTTTTTAATAATACAATTTTATTTTAATATTGAAGAAAAAGGGGTAGACAATTTTTTGCCAAAATATTAATCGGGACTTGTCTATACATCATTTATAGTTTCCAAACAATATATAAGTAGTTGAAATAAACAAATATACAATTTGTCTGGAAATGTTTGAGTTTTTAGTTTATTTTAATTCATCAAATTGATACATTGAAAAATAACTAATTATTTTGTATTATTAATTCAATATTTTGTTCTGTTAATAGTTTATATTTTTACAACAGTTTGAATTAATATTAAATTACCTTAAATGGTATACAATTAGAGCCGACGAGAGAATGGGGCAAAGAGGATCTAGAGCCCCGGGGACCGTACATACCAGAGGGCCCGTCGTCTCAGCCTTTTATACAAATTTAAACAAAATTATTTGGTACCTAATCTCATTTGCCATAGCATAAGGTGCATATTTCAATATTTTTATTTCACTACAGTATGTACAAGTAGTAGATACCTATATCTGTCTTGGTCAAACAAGTGCACCTAAGTAAAGGGGGCCGAAACCGATAAGCCCTGGGACCCTCAAAGGTTCTCACCGGCACTGTACCAATACAATGAAGAACTATACAAACAAGAATTAAAATTTTTTATAATACATATATTTATAAAAAAATAAAAATAAAAAATACATATATTTAATTATAGACTGTTTTATATATCATGTACCTAGATTACCTATTGATAAGTAAAAAATAAAAACGATATACATATGTTATACATAACTAAATATTCTTTAACTCTATAACTGAATACATTCATAAGGTTAATAGAATATTGACTGCAGGCAATTAAAAATAATAATACTCATTTATTTTAATTAAGAACCCTATTTTTCAAGCATCAATTGAGTTCTTTTTAATTATTTTATTCTACGAAAAAAAAAAATTAAAATTGTATCTTGGCTTTAAAGTAAAAATGTATGTAGTAGTTAATAAATATATATATATATATATATATATATATATATATATATATATAAATGTTAATAATTATTATATTTCATAAATGTATTAATATTTATAATATTAACAATGTTAATTAAACATAACGAGTTCATATTTTGAAAACTGAATTAATTAGAATATGCACATGCGTTTTTTTATTATAACGAAACGTGAGTTTAAAATATTTATTATAAGGTATTACTATTAGGTACCTATATAATTAGATACATTTGTAGGTACACTGATACTATTTAAATTTAAGTATAATTCCTCATTATTGAGGTATTACATTGGATTGTGTTCATCAAAAAATATTTTAATATTTATAGTTCTTAATGCATTATTATTTGTCAAAACCAAAAGCGATTTCAAGAATTTACTTAATATTTGTATTTTAAAATGTAATCAATTTTACTATGACATCATTACTTAGTCACTCACATACTTAATATATATATATATATAGTAAAATTGAATTTTTGTACATTTTTACGATGTATATTATTATTTTAGAACGATGACATCATCAAATTATCATAGAAACATAAGTATTTTTGGTACCTATTTGTAATTCACATTGATAATAACATTTTATATAGCATACAAATAATAGTTCATAAGAATTATGCGTTTAATATTTATCAAACAATTTTTTCAAATGTGTTCAACTGAAATATGTTTAACGAAATTATTCATTTAAGATGACTAAAAATTGATAGATAAAAATATTAAAAACAATAAACTGTTTAACTCTGGAATTTCAGATTACACACAACATGAATAAATGATGACCAAAAAACAGTAAACATTGAAAACTGCAGTTGGCATTATGGTTATCTTTATCGTTGTGTACGTATCACGACAGTAATTGAATGAAATCAAATAACTATAACATTTTTTGTAGGTCTATGAACGGAATTGTGCACCTATATAATGCGAAGGCTGTAGATTGTGAAGTTGAGTCGGTGTAGTCCATAGACATAATATTATATTACATTATATTATGTCTATGGTTTAGTCTCAAGAATGAAGTTTTATCGAGTATCAGTGTTAATAAACATGCTGTAGAGTAGTAAAAAACTGTTTTATTCCATGGTAATATGTATGCGATATCTGATAAGCAGCAGCCATATGTTCGCAAGGTCGAAGTTGTTTCTTTTTATTTTGCACATTCCTGCCTGACGAGGCGTGTTTTCGTGGAAATATGCAGTTCGTCTGTATATTGTTTTAAAGTTTATTTGTATCGATTGTTTGTTTTTCAATGTCGTTAATTTTTTTCCGCTTCTCTTAATCACCACATCAACGCCTCTAATCCGTGCCGCAGTATTTATTTAATGTCGCAACTAGTGGGTTGTAGAAGTACGCATATGTTTTTATTATTTTTTTTTATCGTCATTCATATCAACTCGTTGACGTCTCTTCTCTCAACACAATGTACATAGTAATAAAAGTATGTAATGCACTTATGTTTTCATTTTCTAACACAATGTAAGATATTGATATCAATATTGTTATAATAATATCTTTAGGCTACAATATTCCCAGCCTAATCCATTTTATAGGATTATTGTAGATTATTATAGACATTTCGCTATGGATGATAGTAATGCTGATCAAAAGGTAAATGACTCATCATCTGATGTTAAGCAGAATTGTGTTGAAAATACCAATTCCTTACCACCACCCAGCGATAACTCGGTGGCAAAGAAGACATCATTTGAGATAACCAGTATCACAGAACCAAATAATGATGACAATGATGAAGATTCACCAGACACCGATTCACATGTTCATGAACACAGAACAGATAATAGGCATGACGTTGACTTACAAAATTATGCTGACAACATGGTTGTATATAGTACATCCAATGATTTAGGGAGTTCTGCACCAGTTATACCGACTAGCTCACAATATGGTCTGGCTATCGTTGATAATTCTGATAGTGGCCATTCTTTAGGTTCCATTAAAAATGAAGATATGCATGGTATTGATAATAATTCACAAAAGATCGAATGTGATTTGAATGGTCTTCAAAATAAAAATAGAAACGAACGATTTAAAGTGGTGAAAATTGAAAGTACAGAACCATTCAAACGTGGTCGTTGGGTGTGTATGGATTTTTTAGATCATTCAATGAACCAACAACAACCAGGAAACAACAAAATAATGATGGTAAATGGTGATAATAAAACTTATTCTCAGGCAAATGACTTGGATATAGCTGAACCATTAGACAATGGTCATCATGAATGTTCTGAGTTTAGAGTCTGTACTAATAATGTAAGTACTTATACTAGCAATTGTAACACTTCTGATAATTATAAAAATCAAACTTCTACTTATAACATTGTGTCATCTGGTGTAACTACTCCTATTCATAGTGCCTGTGTTTCTCCTGGTCAAAGTTTACAAACTAATATGCAAGTTCCACTTGTAACAAGTCAACCAGTTGCAGTTTCTGTACAAGCTTCACAGCCACAAAGTCTTACTCAAGTTCAATTATCAGCACAACATAATATTAATCAAAGTGGTATACCACATTCCAGCTTACAGTCTCATCAGATACAGCAAGTAATTGCCAATGCCGGAGTTATGCAGCCTCAGTTACAACAAACTCAACCAGTTATTAATGTTATGCAAAATCAAAACTCATCAATACAACCACAATCTATTCAGCATCTAAATTCTGTAGACCAGCATGTTACACAAACAATACCGCAACAATATCAACAGCCTATGTCACAGGCAAATTTACAACAACAAATCATGCAACATAATATACCAGCACAGTTTCAAAAATCATTTGTATCGCCGAATCAAACTGTACTGCCAAACTGTGCACCATTACAGCAATCAGTTAATCAAATGATTAATCAACAAGTTCCTCAGTACTATAATTCACCCCCAGTCCAGTCTCAAAATGTTACTTCTGAATCTTCAACTACAGTCCCTTTGCCTAATCAACACATTAATCAACAACAATTTCAGTCAATTCCAATTCAAAATCAATCATTACAAAATCATGTTCAATTACAACAAAATCAACAACTACCAATTCCTGTGCAACAAATGCAACAACAACCAAATCCCCAACAAACCATGGTGCAACAAAGTCAAATGCAAACACAAATGGTTCAGCAAAATCAACAAATGTCACATCAACCATCAATTTCTCAGCCTAGTCAACCTCAACAAACTCAGCCTGTTCCTCAACAAACACAACAAATGCCTCAACAGCACATTCAACAGTCCCAACCGACACCACAATCTCAACAGACACATGTTCAGCAAGTACCTTCATCGCAACAACAACAACAACAACAAGGGTCTCAACAAATGCAACAAGTAGGTCAACAAATACAAGCATCACAAAGTTCACAAATCCAGCAACAAATATCTCAACAAACTCATCATATCACCCAGCTTACTCAAATGACTAACCAGTCCCAACAAATGCCTCAATCAAATCAAATGCAACAAATAGCTCAACAGAGTCAACAAATTCCACAACAACCTCAACAAATTAATTTACAATCCCAACAGACACAATTGCAACACTCAAAACAAATGCAAACTACTCAAATTCAGTCTCAACCTCAACAAATTAATCAGCAGCAAATTCCTCAGCAACAACAGATTGGCCAAATTACTGGTCAAAATCAAATGATTCATCAAAATAGTCAACAAATTACACATACAGGGCAAATGATTTCTCAACAAACTCTTAATCAAGCACAACAATTAAACCAAAATCAACAAGTTCAACAGCAGCAACAACAGCAATCCCAACAGCAATTACAGCAACAACTAACCCAAACTAGCCAATCAGGTCAGTCAATAACACAACAAATTCTACAACCAAATCAAAGTATGCCTCAACAAAATCAGGTATTAACTCAGCAGTTGGGAATAAATCAATCAAATTCTCAAATGTCTGTACCTCAATCTCAAAATCAACAAGTCATTCAATCACAACAACCACAACAACCACAACATATGCAACAACCTGGACAGCAATATCAACAATCTCCACAAATGATGCAATCTCAACCCCAACAATTGCCAATTCAGACTAATCAACCGCTCATGCACCAACCTACTTATTCACAGGCACAAAGCTTAAATTCCATGCAACTTCAACAAGCTGTAATGCAGCAAATTCCAACAAATACTGTAACATCTACTCAAATGCATATACAACAGCAACAACCAGTACCATCCAATATGATGCAACAACCTCAAATTAATGTTATGTCACAAAATAACATTCAACCCACAATGCCTATGTCACAACAACAAATGACATACTCACTACAGCAACATGTACCTATTAACCCAAACTATGTAAACAGTATGCAAAACTGTTACATTCCTTCTCAACAACAAATGACGTACAAACCATCAATTAAAACTGTAGAAGCTGTTAACAAAAAAAAAGAAGACAGTAATAGTGAAGATATAGATAATGGGACTACTAATAATGCAACTACTACAGTTGCTATTGACAATAAAATTGAACAAGCTATGGATTTAGTTAAAAGCCATCTTATGTATGCTGTGCGTGAGGAAGTAGAAGTATTAAAAGAAAAGATTGCAGAGCTCATGGATAAAGTTGGACTGTTAGAAACAGAAAATTCTAATCTTAGGATGCTGGTACCACCTGACATATTAGAACAATATAATCGTGAGAAACAAAAACCTACTAATAGTCAGTCAACTCATAACCAATAGGCTTTAGTTTTGACTTTTTAATAATCTATTTTTATACACATATATGTATATATATATATGTATGTATATAAAAAATAATACTTTACCAATAGTTTAGACTAAATATTGTAAAAACAGTGATGTGTACAGAATGTTATCTTTTTTAGTTTGATTTGTACAGTGTAATATTATTAAACACTTTAAATTTTTAATAGCTATATAGCTATGTACTTTTATATTTTTTTGAATATGATATTTCAAATCAAATAGGCCCGAAATGAAGAATATTCAAATTTTGATTATTTTAGATTATTAATGGGAGCAAAGACACTGTTTTATTTTTGTTCATTTATACTTTTCATAAAATATTAATAATTTGTTTTTCAATGTGTTTGTTTATTAAGACTGTTTGTAATTATAAATAACAAATTCAAAATTTAATTTGAGATTATGATTAATTTTTTGATTGTTAGTATACGAGGTACATAAAGTTACTAATACCCTTGCTTTGTGATGTGCAATTGTTTGCAAATGTAAATGTAAACCATATTTTAAAAAGTTAACCGACTGAAAAAAATTGACATTGTTAATATACGATTTATTTAAATTTTGATTCAACTTTGAATGATTGTATTTAGGTGTGTATTCATATAACAATTAATATACAGTTAAAATATTTATTTTATATAATTCAAAGACAATTTCAAATTCTATGTTAGAATATAATTGAACTTATATGTTAAAAATTAAAGCACAACTCCTAAATTAGAGTAACTAGAAATTAATTGTTTCTGATTAACATATCTTTGTTGATTAATGTTAACATTGGTAAGGAATAGGGGCATAATATTAAAAAAAAAAAAAAAAACGTATTTAAGCTATTTAAAGTAATAATTTCATTGAAATAATCATAAATATAATCAATTATAAATTTAACCAAAAAACGGTGTATTCTTAACTATTTTTAGTAAGTACGCTGCTATTAAAATTAAAATTATTTCGACACTTATTTGCTAATAGCTATAACCAGTTTTTTATAATTGCAATCACTTTTTACTGGTTTTTTTTTCTTTTTTTTTTAAATAATATTAAAATAATATATGCTCCGTAAAACCCGAGAATATTTTTGTCCTTAACAATTGAATGTTTTAATTTATTGGTATTCTGTAATAATGAAAATCCTCTTCGTATTTTTTTTAATGCTTATTTTGATGATTTTATGAATCACTTATCATCTTGAAATTTAATATAAGAATGTTTACACTTATTTAAATATTGAAGTAGTTTACATATCATTCAGAGCATCATTTTTCAATAACTAATAATAATAAAGCAATTTTATTAAATAGATGCTCAAATATTCATTTTAATTATTTTTAATTAACATTAACATTATTTAAAATGAATTGTGTTAATATTAAAATATGAAAATGTACTTGTTCATATTCTGAATGTAGTGTAACATTTATATTTAAAGGTAACATTGATGTATGTATATTTATTATTTTAATATCTACCAATTACAAGTGTACGTTATAGGATATTTGAGTATTTATTTAAATGTCTTTTAAATTTTTCTCACACACCACGTATTAAATATAATCCTTTCCATAATTTTAATAAATAATATTTTTTTTTGTATTATATTTTTATAACCCATTATGTATACCTGATATGTATAACGCCTAATTATAAAATTTTATCTTTGTCAAATATTTACTATTGTAGTGATTAATTTTATTTTTTGCTGTCTAGACTCTATATTATTTTTAAATTAAATTTTTATTAGCGTGCTGTATTACATGCAAAGATTATTATGTATATTTTATTTGATTCAATTATTAAGACTTGTGATAGTTTCAATATTTATTAAAAATATGATAAGGCTTGTGAATGTATAATATTTATGGTAATGAAAAAGTATTATTTTTGGCCTTTTCAGTTCAAAAATATATTCTTCTTTTTATACTCCTACTAGACAATATTTATTAACAAATAAATAATTAATTTATGATAAAAAATGTGTTCATGTTAATTTTTATTTATCCATCCTAATATTGTACTGCTTCTTCAAAATTACAATTATTCAAAACAAATCTTTAATAATTATTTTATTAATAATGTAAATATAATTGAAATGAATTAATTTTATAAAATAAAAAAAATGTTAATTTATTTTTATTGTAAATATCAACAGATTTCTAATTTATATTGCATTCTTGTAAGAAAAGATATATAACATGGTAGTAACCGGTTTTGATTTGAATGGAGTTTTGAGTGGAATTTTTTGTAGTGTCTATTTGCTATTTCATCAACTGTTGGATTTGTAGATCCTTATGTAGTGCGTTGCTAGTCATATACTATGGGACTGCAGTTATTTTTCTAAGACATTAAAATTGAAAGTTTGTATGGGTATTATATTAGATGGATTGACTTGGTCCCAGATTTTAATACAATATGACTAAAGAGGGTTAATTGTAAAATAGTTGTCTTTTATATTAATATTTTATTTTTTAAGCTCAATGAAGGAGACAATAACGGGCGAAAAAGTTGTAGGTGTGGGTTTGATTGTTTTATTTTATGTTTAGTGGGCCCAAGTAAGTCTTTTGTCCAGATGGATTCCTAGGTATTTAGTTACAATTTTTATAGGAATTTGTACATTATTGAGCGATAGTTGTGGAAATTCATTTTTACTAAGAAAAAAAAAATCGGAACCTATTTATTTTAATTTTCTATTTATTAGTCCAGATGGAAATTTGATTTAAATGGTATTGTGTATCGTGGGTTACTATATTTTAATCTTTGTTTGAAGCCAGTATAGTGGTGTTGTTTGCATATATCACTAGAGCATAGGTGCAAAGCCGGCGTTAAGCCCCTCAAACAGTTGTAGCCATCTTAAAAATCCAGGACATTGCATTTCAAAATGTTATCTTTTGTGACATAAATATTTTGTATGATGATAAAAGTAAGAGGGTGTGGGGGGGTAGTTAATGGGGATACATTATTCGAGCCTCTCCAGGTAAAAAATTTAAATTGGGCCTATGCGTTAGAGTTTTATGGTTTGTTTTGACAATATCTGATGTGTAAATATTATAGAATACATTGGTGATGGATCATTTCCGCTTTGATTTTATGATAAGGAGAATAAGAATTGTTATGTTAAACAATGAAATATCGGTCATTGAGATAAGATTTAAAATGAGGAAAAAATATGATGCAAGTAGAAACGATTTTAATTTGAGTAACAGTCTATCGTGTCAGACATGATCGAACGCCTACGCGATATCAAGGAATACATTGACACCTGGACAATCTCCTTTTTTTCAAATGATAACGATATTTTGTCGGTGATAAATTTGGAAGATTGTCGAATGATATGATAGAAATCCAAATTGATTATTTGAAATTATATTTATTTATTTATTTCTTGATAATAGGGGTTATTATTTTAAGAAGTAATTTTTCGAAAAGTTTCCCTAAATTACAGTGGCGTAGCCAGGATTTTTAAATGAGGGGGGGGCTAACCACTTTTTTTGGATAAGTAAGGTAAGAGAGGATATGAGAATTCACCCTTAACCCCCCCACCATCTACCACCAAGTTTCTAAACGTAATTCAAGCATTTTAGTATGGTTTTAAAAATATTTGTTAATATATAATTCAGGGGCGTCATTTCAATATTTGATAGGGTACGGCATAATAATGACTGGCCCTATAATCAACACTTTTAATTGTATATAAAAAAAAGGCGCTCGCTCCGCTCGCTAGCTAGCCAAATTTTTATTTTGTACACAGTCACAGTACACACTAAGTCAAATCAAATTCTAAATGAAAAATTCAACATTCATTGGTCATTTTAAAAATTATTATTGATAACGAACATTTACAGTGCTATGCTCTTATCAGTCATATCTCTGTCATAGTTACATTACATTATACTGGTTACCACGGTCTACGACGTCAATAGCTGATCTTTTTATCGTGGTTTTTAAACTTACTTTATCGTTGAGATAACGAATATAGTTCCATAGAATAGAATAATAAATAATAATAATAATAATAATAATAACGTATTAATTAATATATTATTATGATATACCACAAATTTCTATTTTTATATTATGTAGTATATTCTAAAATAGTCAGTAGATTTAAGATTATATTGATTATTATAGAAAACCCGCCCCGCTTAGACCCGGCCACCGGCCCATTTAGCTACTTTAAAATCTAGGGCCGGGCAAATGCATAATCCTGCCCCCCCCCCAAATGACGCTCCTGATATAATTTATAATAATAATAATAATTTTGGTTTCAGTGTTCAGTCACTTGCTCCACTCTGACAGCTGCATCCTCTTAGGCGAATTTCTGGCAAATTCAGTTATTATTTCACTTTCATCGAATTGCTCTTTTTTATTTATATTAGCCATAGCTAACCCATACAGTCTGTTTTCCGACATGGTGCTTCTTAAAAAATTTTTTAAGCGATTAAGTGCTGAAAACGTTCTTTCCGGAGTGAAAGAGGTAACTGGTAACGTGGCGAATAATTGTAAAAGTATTTTTAATGTTAGGTCGAAAATTGGTGCGATGAGAGAGTGAATCAAGAGCAGAATTCGGTTATGGAATAGTATTTTGACTCCATTGTTGCCTCCATATGAACAGGTTAGCTCCAATTGTAGATTAGGTATCATCATGGAGATCTTGGACTTATATTTTAGCAGCTTTTTTAATATTTTTATCGTCATACATATTTAAATTGGCCGGAATAAGTCCTTCAAGTGGCATAACATCAATATGCCTTTGATTAAAACGAGCATTGATTCTATTAAATAGTCAAGATACATTATACATATAAACATGGCCCATGAGAGAGGCTATAGCCCCCTTAGCCCCCCCTTGGCTACACCACTGCTAAATTAGTAAACTTATTGGGTGATATGAAGTTAATAAATACTTTGGTTTTTCTGGCTCAGAGGCGCCATTTGGGGAGAAGCAGAGTGTTCACTTGCACACCCTGAATTTTTTTCATATTCAATTATTGGCTATTGGCCTAGGCGTCACTGATACATGGCCTTGCCGCCTTGGCCTTCAGTTTTCCAATATTTAACATTGTGCATGCACCACGGCTAATCAGTAATTACTTCTAATTATAAATATTGGCCGGGTGGTGGGAAAAAAATTGGCCTCTTTAATTGTTTACATACCCTTAAAAAAACTGAAATGACGCCACTATTCTGGCTTGGGAATTAATATTATTGTTTAGAATTTCCATATTGGGGGAATGTATGACAACCTGACCTATAATATATATAAACTTAATATGAAAAATTTATTTTATTCTTTATTTTTTTGACGTGGTGTGTATTATATAATCCTTATTTATAAATGTTATCATTATTTAACAAATTAATGATAAATAAGTACTTGTATCATATTTAAAAAAAAATATAAAATAATTAATTAAAAAAATGTTTATGTAAGTACACGTATACTTGATCAACTTATCAAAATGATTAACATTTTAGAAATATCCCAGCTTTTTTTCAGAATTCAGTACCGTAGTAAGAATTAGAAGTATTTACTTTGAACAAATAAAAAATATAAGTCATTATATCCTGACAATAATTAGCATTGAGAATACTGGATAAAGTATGTATATGTGAAGACATTCCCTATGCAATGTACACTCATCACCTTCATTTGTTTTAAGATTTTTAGGAAATACAAATATACAATGAAGGTTTAACCACGTCTCTGTACCGTCCATTATCCAGTTGGATTTTTAAACGATGTATCATTCCGTATAAAAATAACGTGAGCTTAATACTTTTTAGAAAACTCAAAATTATATACCTTAAAAGACATTCATAGATTTTATAAATTGGTAAGTCATAAATAGTATTATTTATCAAGAGAGTATTTTATTATAAATTAAAAATATTACTAAATCTGTAGTTTTACTATAATTTATAATTCAGTTTTCAATATTTAGTAGAAAATTGCTCACTTCTAATTGAAATTCATTCCATCGTTGCGTAATATCTGATTGAATACCATACCTTAAAAAACTTGATTTCATTTCTTTTTTCACCATAATTTCTTGATCAGCCTTTCTGTTAATTATTGTTAATCCTAGTCCAAATTGAAATAATGCAGCGAAAATCATCATTCCACTTATCTATATTTATAAATATGTTTTATATAGTACCTACAAGGTACAATACAATTACAATACAATATGTATTATATATACACAATTTTTACATCAGAATAAATATAGTAATAAAAATAATAAATTTAATAGCTCGAATTTTAGAGACCAGAAAAATTGAATTATCGAATTATAAAATTATTACGTAAAAATATCCACAAAATTGTTTTTTTTAATATTATTACTTGTTAAATTAGTCTACTAGTCTATTTTTATTTCATCATTAATAATTAGGTATATGGTAAACATTTAATAATTTAGAAGTTATATATTATGAACAGTGGCGTACATACGGGGAGGGTTTCCGGGTTCAAACCCCCCCAGGGCCAAAAAAAAAAAGAAAATTGTTTTATTATTGATGACGTGTAATATATTCGTAGTTTCATTATTACGCTTTGAACTTAAAATATACAATTATACAAATATTATGATAATTAAATAATTATATTGATAGGTGTTTGAAAAGTTTTGTTAACTATGCTGTTTTTATATTCCAATAGCTATTAATTTACTGTAATGTAAAAGTAAACTGTAAATTGGTAAAAAAGTTGTATAAAATAATAACTGTTTATAGCAGATATACCTAACCCTCCCCCCCAGAGCAAGATCGAATGTACGCCACTGATTATGAATAACACTGGTTAGGTACATTTTAATATAGGTATATTATTTTAAATAGGTAATTGATAACAAATAAATTCGTACCTACGCAATAACAAAGTGTTCTATTTATTGTTAAAGCACCGTACAATCCACTAATACACAACAAAAGCATTATAAAACCACTGAATAAGATAAATCTGATCGTATTGTTCGACTCTAAATTGAGAAAATTTCTTGTAGTATCCAAATTTGATATATATTTATCAGAAATAACCATCAAAATAATTGACCATATCTATTAATAAAAATTATATAAATATTTATTTTCAAATTTTAAATAAAACAATTATCAACCTTTAACAAATTCGTTGGGTGTTACAAATTACAATACAACTAAAATTAGTTAAAGAAAATCTTAATTAGATATACAGAAGCGGTGGTGTAGGTATGTTATGTGTGTAGGCATGCACACGGAGGATGCTGGATGTGTTTGGGCACCCTCTGAAATATCGTAGCCTTATATATGAGGCTCTATAATTTAAGTCTAAGATTAAGGGGTCCATATTTTAACAAATGTTTTGTAATAGGATAAAGAAAACTAAATTTTCTAAATTTTTGCGTAAAAACTAATCATAATATAACAGCTTTAATTTACAATAAAACAGTTATATTTATTTAATTATTTATATAGTATAATTTATTAAATATGCCCTACGTGTTTTGTTAAGATAAGACACTAAAGTATTGTAGGCACCTCCTAAAATACCATTTTGCAGGCGTCTATGTGTGTAGTATTATATATAATTTTAATATTATCTATTAATATGTCAGTATATCTATAGTATGACTTAATTGGTTATTTGATTGACTCACGATTAAAAACACATTAGAGTATAACATTATTGACGATTCACTACACATAAATACTAAAAGATCTTTCCATTTTTTATTTGTGTATCCATTTAATGTACTATATATAGAATTCATTGAACCTTCGAGTTCTTCGTTGGATAGCGATACTATAGTAGTTTCTACCATGTTTTTTCTGTCGGTTGTAGATGGTTTTGATATTTGTTGATTAAATTCTTTTATATTCCACTGTTAAATTTTGTAAATTTTAAATAGATGAAAAAGCAGAAATTTTCCTTTTAACTTATTTATTGCATCGATTTACTGCTAATGTATGTGGACCTGTTTACATCAAAATTATGTAGTATTTATGGGACAGATATCATTTAGATTAAATCAAATAACGAAATTAAAATATTTCTATTAGTTACTATCAATAATAATTATTGTATCTGTAACTATATATTTTTATTTTTATTTTTTTTGAAAATACTAGTTGGCTGTATGACAATTGATTATAAATACCATAAGTAAGTATAAAGTAAGTATTTATAATTAATAAGTATTTAACAATTATATTGATCTTCGATTACTAAAATTAAATAAAATATAAAAGTTAATACTTAAAGTTAATGTTCCAAAGAAGTTTGTAAATACACTTTTTAGAATATATTTTAAAAAAGGAAGGAGGTATATTTGTTTACAATAATTTAAAACTAATACACATACCTACAGTATGAATTACAATATTTAATTAAGAATTATTTTGAATTTTAAGAGGTGGAATTTTGGTTATTGTAATTTTTTTTATTCGATATGTTTATTATTAAACATGTACATATCAATTTTTTATATTTAAATCTTCGCTTGTTGTCTGGAATTTGCATGTGTTAATTGTTTTAGGTCTATAAAATATTTTGAATATTTTCATCGTTATCATTAAAAAATTTTTGGTATATTTGAATTATAATTACTTTTAATAAATTAAGTTACAAAATGTATATTATATTTTAATTTTTAATGTGATATTATTAGTATCGTCTATTTACGAATTATTGTTACTTAGAATTGTACAATTCAACCAACTAAAAACAAAAATTAGAATTTAGTCCTTCAACCCCTTCCCTATAAATATGCTCCTGCTATCAAGTTAGTTGAAGGAAGAGCTGAAACAACATGTTACCACATGTTTCACAACACAAGTAGCAACATTCTATGAAGTAGTGGCGTGTTGAACTACTTTTAGGTAAGGAGTGAAGATTTTTACAAACAACCCACTTACCTGTTTTTTAAATACCCCTACATACCAAAACCAATCGCTTCCCTCGCATTGTCACTATAAAAACATATTGAACAACTAATTTTGATAATTGTTCTCTTTTTTTCTTTATACTAAATTAATATTTAAAACCTATATAAGTATAGTATAATATAGTATTTTTCATGATGATTGATCATCACTTATTTGTTAATTTTTATCAATGTTACTGATGTAATTGATACCTATATGTAAATAAATTTAATACACTTAATAATAATGAAAAGTTGCATTGTTATGGTAGTGATGCTACAGCTACATGCATACTTAATTTGCTCAAGTTCCATCATTTTTTAAACACCTGGTTATTATATATTATAGATAATGTATAAGTGTATAAACAACATTCTATACGTATTACTACGTATTATACAGTACCTAAATATTATTATACTATTATATGTTGTGATATTTAGATATTATGTAGTCTATTGATGTCTGGCGATTACAAAATAACAATTTTATTCTTCGTAAAACCAAAAGAGATCTCACCCATCCCCAAAATATTGATGAAGCGGCCGTTCCTTAAAAACGTAAAATTTAAATGTAAAAATTATACATAATTGTGAAATAGATTTCATGACTGTACTGTATCTGTACTTGTTCTCTTTTTATTACAAAACGGAACTTACTTTCCGAACGTACCTCGTATAATGTATATAAATTCAGTGACTCAATTAATATGCATTGTATTTTGTTATAGGACCTATAAAATGTACATTATAAACTGAAGAACTAACGGATGTATTATTATTATTATTTTATTTTTGACAGCTGCAGTGAATCTAAATGCAAGTTAATGACATATAATATACATTCATCCAGTTGACGAATGACACTTGTTTAAATACTCAAAATAGAAAAAAAAACTGTCACCCAATAATACTTTTTTGTTTTACTATTTACTGTCATACTTGGTGTTTTTCGTGTTCAAGAAGATTACTAATTTGCAGTAGTATAATAAAATATAAAACATATCTATATTTCAAGACTCTAGGTCTTCAGATTTCTAGCCATGTTGAATAAAACGTCGTTGGCAATCAAATACTTGTTATTTGTCTTCAATTTAATAATATTTGTAAGTTTAATTGCACTTTGAATTAAAAAATGTTATATGTATGATATACATTGTATATATATATATTAAATAAAATACGAATTATGTGGCTTATATTTTTAATTTTATAATTTTTTATAATTATAAATTATAAATATATACACACATACTATATGTATACGAAACTGAAAAAAAATTAAGTAACTACATAACTTGATAAAAATATTTCTTCTGGTACTATTATGAACATATATTGCATTATTAATATATAATGTTAATAATAATTAAAATTATATTGCGTATAAATTGTCTATAAATATCATCCGGCTCACTGTGCCAATGTATGTTATTTTGTTGACATTAATATATTTATAGTAGCCCGTTTTAATACTTATAAGTAATAAAAAAATAATTATAAATATAAATTAACGTTTATATTGTGTAATGTGTCCTGTAACATAGTTATAATTATTTACATTTTAAAAATATTTGGTATCGTTAATAAATCACTGAATTAATAATTAATAATTACTGATTATTAATTAGAAATAAGTTTTGTAATAACTATTTAGTAATAAATAAGAAATAGTGCTCGAATTGGGAAAATTAAAGTAGAGGTATCATTATTAGGTACCTACATAAAAACAGAGCGTATTAGCATTACTTTTACCCAAAGAAATATGGAATTATTAAAAGGGGTACGCTATATTATTTGGAAAAATAATTGGGATACTCACTCCCTCTCATACACATTTAATTCAAAAACTGCTAATAAATTAGTTTCAAAACAATTTTTTTTCAATTAAAGGGAGTCATTTTCATGGTTTATATTTTATTGTGTTCCATTTATTATTTTAATATTTATAAATTTTATATTATTTATTAATACTTTGACTTTTTTACTAACAATTTAGTGCATTAACTATGTAATAATGTGTGTAGGTACTTATACTGTATAGAATGTAAGTTAAGTTCAAATAATTAATAGACCATATTGTACTGTCATTACATTTTACAGAACAAAAAAAAAGATAGATAAATAACACATATTTGACATATGTTCTGTGCAAAACTAAAATTAATTGTTATATTACGCAGAATATTGTTTTTCATGTATTATTATTTATTATACTTCGTGTCAAGGTTTGCAAATGACATTTTTATAATTGTTTAAAATTGAAATTTTAAATTTTAAAAATTGAAAAATAAATTGTTAGAAAATACATATACTTAAATATATTTTGTATAATTTAATTTATATTCAGCATTTTATGTAAAATTTTGCGGGGTGCATTGTAATTTTATTGTGAAGAAAATTGAACTCTATTTCTACATGCATACATCTAAAAAAATATTTTAGAGAATTAATTTTTTTTAAAACAATCTTCGTTTTCCTTTGTCTCTTCCAAATTACTTGAGCTAGTACGTTGTTACTACATATAAATAATATAAGTTTTTTCATCCATAAAATAATTCTTCTTATCTGTAAATTGACTAAATGACAATGAGTTCAAGTTAAATTAAACATTATTGATTGCAAACATTATAAAATCATTTAAATTTGATTTTGAAGAATTAATCAACTTCAATTAGACGTAAATGTTAATTAATTTTTAAAAAAAAATTAAACGGACTAAAATGATTTATTTCTTATGGCTTTTATTAAAATGTTTGAGTTTGAATTATATAAAATGCCTTAAGTATAAGTTAAATAGTTTAAGCGAAACTCCATATTTCCCTCGGTAGTATGAGCCGGCCAAAATGTCCCCCCCCCCCCCTATCAAAAACTGAAATGACGCCACTACTCAATACCTACTAAATTTTATTTTTGCATTTTCCTGTTGAGGTGATCCTTGTAAGCTAAATATTTTCTTTATTATTTCTTCAATATCTTTATTAGATTTTTCGAAATCGAATACTTCCTATCGTGTTTCAAAAATGTATCAATAATACGACGGATTTTTCAAAACTCTCTACATTTCATTACGTCGGTATTTTTCAACTAATTTTAAAACACAGTATACTATCCCAATCCACTTTTTTACATTGTATTTATATAACAATTTTGTATTGGCGTATAAGTATACGGTGACTCGAATTTGCACAGTATTCCTTTGAACACGGCCCAAGAATGGATCCGAATGCTCGCGAATATGTCTACGCGATCGCAAAATGGGTTGCATGTGAATGTGCGTGTGCAATCGTCACTTTTGTTCGTTCGTGTGTGCCCATATGCGTAATTTATAAATTTATTAGGGGGGATCAAATATCAATATATAGGTACATATCAACTAGTCTATATAGTTAACGTAACATTACTTACTTGTAAATATATGTTAATATTACCATTTAATGTAAATAATATTTATTAGTATATTAGTATATGGTGATCAATATTAATCAGTAATGAAATAAATAAAACATAAATACATTAAAAACAGAATTTTTTAATATTATATAACTTCTAAATAAAAACGCCGCTTTACTACCTATATATTATTATATACAATTTTTCATTATTCATTCTCTAACATTATGTTAGATAAACTAAAATTGAAAATTAAAATTTTTTAAAAAAAACCTGTATAGTTTGCTATAATCAGCTGTTTTGTACTTATTTTAAAACAAGGTATATCAAATATCAGAGGGAGCACTGTTCCTTATAATTTATTCTAGGGGGAATTCTCCCATGCCCCCCTCCCCCAATTTATGCCTATGTGTATATCCATCTTAACATGTTAGCCGCCGTGTGCCCGCCGGCGGTCATACGGCAGTCATTTATTGATACGCCAAGTGTGTTTTCCCAAGTTATTACTAATTTGTATGTATTTATATCTTTGGTTCTACTGTAGCTATTAAATTGATTTTTATACCAAAATATTTGTCATATTCTTCTCTACGCCATGGTACTGTTTAAAAAATGCATTATCGTAACGCCACAAAAACCATAAGCATTTGTTCAAATATGAATTTATGGTCACCGGCGGGTCATGTGGCGTGATAGTAATGATCAACTATGGACGCCGGCGGGCATAAAAGTATAGAATTTGAACATTGCAGTATGACCACCGGCGGGCATATGGCGGTTAAAGTGTTAAAATGGCAATATGTTATAATTTAAAAACTGGCAACGAATGACCATTGGATATGTATAGATTCGAGACTTGGATCTGATTGTCCCGAGCAGAACTCTTGATACTTGGTGTCAACGTAATAAGATATAATATATTAAATAGATCTAATATCGAGATAATTGATCTATTCGAATCATAGATTATAATTTAAGTCATTATTATTAAAAATTATCAAAAATGGCGCTCAATTTGTGTTGTTGTTTTTGCTTTTTATTCTATAACTAAATTACATTAACAATACACACAATAACACATATATATATATACAGAGTGTTAATTAAAATCCTGACGGCGAAACAGTAGTTGAAAATATTGCATTAAATTAGTTTTTGTTTTTTTTTAATTTTTTAGTTTAGTGGAATATTACTATTTAGCGTTGGATTATCAATTTGTAATGTTTACAACCATTACGAACAGTTTTTAACAGAACACTATTTTACTGCGCCATCGATTTTGATTGTTGTGGGTATCGTTGTTTTAACAGTATCATTTTTCGGATGTTGTGGCACGTTGAAAGAAAACAATTGCATGATGCTTACTGTGAGCAAAAAAATTACTCCTTAGTTGTATCTACATAATATAGGTACTCTTTATTTCTATTAAAATTAATTTTTTTTTATACAGTTTGGATTTTTATTGGCGATATGTTTCTTAATGGAAATTGTAGGTGGTTTAACTGGATTTATATTACTGGAAAAAACCCATTTTGTAGTTACATCAAAACTACACGAAACTATGATGTTTTATAATAAAACGACGCACATAACACATATTTGGGATCGACTTCAAACAACTGTAATGACAAACATTTACAATAAAATTTTATGCATAACATGAAAAGGCGTACAATTATAAAAGCTTTTTTTTTATTTGACTTTTTTAAATTTTATTAGGCAATTAAATAAAATCATTCAAGTATATAAAAAGTTCATTAAATGTACATACATATATTATATAAAGTACAATACGCTTTTTTATAGCTATCTAATCAAGTACTACCTACATAATCATTTATAATATTTTTATTACCATCAACTTTTTAATTATTTATTTTAAAATTAAGTTACATTGTTGTGGAGCTGAAAAACTGGAAGACTGGTATCCTATACTAGATAACAAATTGCCTATGTCTTGTTGTGGTTCATATGATGGAGCAATAGATCACCAAAATTGTACGGCTTCTGAACCAACCATTTTTTTGCAACCTTGTTATGAATCATTATCAAAAATTGTAAATGATAATGCGAGCGTGTTGAGTGGCGTTACAATAGGGATTGCGTTTTTACAGGTGTGTATAGTAATAATACAAAACTTATCAATTAATTAATATATGTTTATAACTTGCCCATTTATAATATATTTATTTATTTTTTAGATATTGGGTATAGTACTGTCATGTTCTTTATCAAAATCTATAAGAAATAGATATAACCTAATATAAAATCATAAATCTATTATTGATAACATTATACATAAAATAAAAGTATAAGCCTGTCAATGTTTAATTCCAATGATATACAAGTTATGGAACACTAACATGAAAGTTGATTGTAAATTAATTATAATGAATGAATAATTATTATTTATGAATATCTGGTGCATTGTATTATGAAACTAGTTCATAACTGTTCATAACTATAATATGATTAATTACTATTTAGTAACTATATAGGTATGTATTATAAAATATATGTACTATAAAATAAAAATATTATTATTATATATATATTTTTTTTTATGTAAATACTCAGAAAAAGTAAATGAATCGATGATTGCAGAAACGTCATATATTTTATGAAATTGAAATGTGACTTGTGACGTTTCTGCAATCATCAATTCAAATAAAAGTTATTGAGATGAATTTTGCTTTTTATATATTCCATAGTAAATTTTCATAATAAGCTACAGATTTTACATTGGTCGAATTCTAAATAATTTCTGCTTGGCAGTATATTTTTTCAATATTGAATATAATATCAATATAAATATATATGTTGAATATAATTATATAAATATAATAATTTATATATTTAATATAAATCTATTAATCTATTTTATTTTTGTATGTTATACTTATATAGAACAAATATTATAAAACTGAAACCAAATTATATTGTTATCGATTTTCACATTTGTATGTAACCTGATATACTTTGTTGGTATGTTTGTCTAAAAAATAATTAAACCTAATTAAATTCAATTTCAATTTTTTTACTCAATAATTATTTTTTATTTAATAAACAAGAAGTAATTTTTTAAGTTTATTTAAGTTAAATAATAAATTTTTTTTCCAGTTTTTAGATGTTTAAGTAGTTAATTTATATTCTCGTGTGAAATTTCAAACTGAACACACACGTAATTATTATTTCTACTTGTGTTTAATCATCTCAATTCTGTCGGAATTTTTCGAATTTTCTATCAATCAAATCAGTTTTTTATACTGTACCTGGCTCCTGCGTATATGAGTAGTTTCCTAATTCATATAAGAGAAAAAAATATAACAAGTATTTACTAATTACACGCAGTGTATGAGAAACACTTTTATCTTCTTCCCAAGGCATCGTCACGCGCGTTTTGGACCTGCGATTATTTCGACAGTCTGACTCTCAGATAATTTAAACACCAATAATATAAAATGAAAAATCAAACTGTCAGTATTAATAATAATAATCTTAACAAACATAGGCTTACTAAACAAATGCCTAACCAAAACTCGTCTCATTCTATTTCTACTACCAATCAAAAACAAAAGTCAGTTCTGTCAACTCTTCAAAAATATCGCACAACACTCGTAGACAGAGCGGATTAAATGACGTCTTTAATTCTTTCGATATCGATTTGGAGGAAAATAATAACGATAAATTCGATTATCCTAAAAAGTCATCAAAACTAAATCGATAGATATTCCGGAAACTAAAACTAGACCATTATTTATCCCACTTAACAGATTCTCTCCACTCTTAAATTACGTAACTGAAATGTAAAATCTTCCAAATGATAATATACCTCTTGTCAATTCTCAAAGTACTGAAATGAAACTTTCACCATCAATCTTTGTCCGTGGTATATTGGATTTAATTATTCTCCGTAACAGTGATAAATTGCAGATAAATTTATCTTTAAATCCTCAATAAACGATTTAAAAATTCAAACCGACACTGAATTGTATCGTAATATAATCCACTTTCTAAGAGAAAGTGAAGCTCAGTATCATGTCTATCACACTCTTTAGGAATAGACCTTGAGAATAGTAGGTAATTCGTAACCTCCACCAGTCTACACCAAGTTTCGAGATTGGAGCAGAAATCGAAGAAATTGGTTTCTCAGTTCGACAGGTTACTAACGTTCATCAAAAAAGACTAAGAATAAAATTTCAATTTTTTTGTTGACCTCCAGCCAGCCGAAATAAATAAATATTTCTTTGGTGTAACGTCACTACTTCACACAAAAATGATAATTGAGGAACTACATAAATGTTATACAGTGCCATAACTGCCAATACTATGGTCACTCCAAGAAATATTGCTCTTACTCTCCTACATTCGTCCGATGTGGAGGTAACCAGCCTTTCCCCAATTGTGGCAAATCAAGTGAGTCACTTGCTAAATGCGCTCTCTGTGGAGGAGATTATCCAGCGAACTATAAGGGGTTACATCTTCAAGAACCTACAGTGGTTCCGCAAGTCAACTTCAAACAAACATTTCACCCAACCAACAACAGCAAAGGTTATACAAACAATGTAAATATTAATAACTGTACAGACACCCAGTAGCAACCATCTGATACAATTGTACATCATCGGGCCAATTCCCAGGTGGCATCAGGTTAAAATCCAGATACTAATTCAAATGACAACTATCCTCTGACTATATTTCTAAACGAATATAGACAGTTAATTACTCCATTATTATCTTTCCTCACCACTGTCTTCGATCATCTTCTCGTTCAAAATGTTAAATAATACTTTTTACCTCCCAGTCACTAGCCATCTTACTTTGGAATGCCAATGGCCCTACCAACTACAAAAATGAACTTTCTTCGATTCTAATCGAAAAAAATAATTGATCACTGATCTCAGAGACACATTTCACGCCCAATACGAAATTTCTATTCCCAGGTTAATGTATATTTTCCTCGTGCCATTCCGACAATACCACCTTAGTACTTCACTCTTAGTAAAAAATGGTTCAATCTGGATGACAAAAATGTAATTGCCTTAAACAGAAAAACGCTCCGTTAAAAAATAGCATCGATAATTGGTGTAATACCGATATAGAGCAAATAGACACTTTTTGTTCACACCTCTTTAAAGTCTTCCAACCGTACAACAATATTGGCAATAACGATCTTATATTGAAAACTATCTCTCTTCTGCTCTACCACATTAACAAACCTTCAAATCATTTTCTCCAGATGAAATGAAATAAAGTATTAAATTTTTTCCTTTTCGTCATCGGGATTGGATCACTGCTGTGGTTGCCCAATAATTCAAAGAAACTCTTATTCACCTAACCCATATTCTTAATTTGATATTAAGATTATCATATTTCCCTCTCCAATGGAAAATTCCAGTAATTATCTTATTTCCGAAACCTGATAAACCCTCGGATAATCCTTCCTCTTATCATTCAATAAGCCTCCTCCCTTTTTTGGCCAAACTATGTGAAAAATTAATTACTAAACGCAAATCAGAGTTCATTAATGATAACAAGGTAAAAATACCCCACACCCAGTTCGGCTTCAGAAATAAGTACCTACTCCACTATACATAGTATACAAGTCCATTGTCTAACCAAAGCTATTTCTTATTGTCTGGAAAACAAACTTAACTACTAGGTAGTTTCTGCTTACGTATTGCAAACCACAAGAATCCACTTATTCTTTCTCAAAACTCAATAAATATTTTTGGGAACTCGCCAAAAAGAATGAAGGGGCACTAATGTCATAATTTGACTCAGTAAAATTAAACCGTAAAAAAAAAAATCTCTATCATCTTTGACTGTTATTGCTGTGTAGCTTTCTCCTCAATCCTTCATATCATTATAATATATCTATACGTTCATATGTTTATTGTAATCATTATTACAGATTGTATATATTCAAATAAAAGTTAAAAAAAGTTATTTATTCAAAGTATTTTTGTTTATCAAATATCCTATATTAATTAGAAAATATGAAGTAATATATATTTTTCATATAAATAAACCTGTATCAGTAATTGTGCATTGGTATAAAAAAGAGGGAATTTATTATTAATAGTTGTAAAAGTTTAAATCATGTTCATTCATGTTTCATGTTATTGGCAAAAGACAAAGTGAGTTTTACCAACATTCATCTTTTAACAGAACAATTATAAGTATAATTAAAATTATAACACATTTTAAACAAAATTTTATATTCACCAAAAACATTTAGCTTTTTGTAATATATCACAACCTGTGATATAATGTTCTCCTTCTTTTAAATAAGGTGGTGTAAATTCTCTATAAGCAATACAAACTCTTCTTTCCTGAATATCTTCTCTAAGTATACAATGTTCCCATAAATATCTAGGTTTGTTATACAAAACTAAAAGTGATCTTCTAGGCATTAATATTCGCACAACATCAACTGGGTAATTTGCTTTATTTACTGGAATAGGTAAACAATCAATATTTGGAATGTAGTCAATATTATACTGGTTCCTATATTTAATGTGATGTGGAGTTAAAGTAAGAACAGTATCTGATAGCAAGCTCAAGGTTACAATTCTTTCACCCCAAATCCAACAATCATCTACATGGGGATCAATTGATGAGCCAGATTCTGGTCTATACTCCAATGAACACTGTTCAATTGTAAAATAATTTTCCAAGATTGGAATTTGTTCAAAACGATCTTGAACAAACTTGGTAGATAATGGAAAACCATTGAAATTGCCTATTGATATACGACGTTTCTTAAAGTTGCATTTTGGTCCAAAATTCTGAAAACATATTTAGTTGTAAGTTGTATATATATAATAATTTTTATTTCGTTATTAGTTATGACCAAGGCTCAGAATGTTGTGTTAAAAAGTACTCAAATATGGGCATACATATGGCATTCAAAAATATAATAATATACAGCAAAAATTTGAATAAAATACAATTTTCATAAATTACAAAGGAAAAAAATAAAAATAAATACTTCAAACTTGTGTATTGTTATGTCTTTCAGTTATACAAGCTATACAATTTTCATCAAATTTAAATTTTCTTGAATATAAATGTTTAAATACTGATAACGATCACTTTATATTATGATATTTAAATAATATCTTGGTAAATTTAGAAAAAAATTAATTTGGGCCAATCGGCAATCACTATTACAATTTCTCAGTACAACAGATTATAACTATATACTATATTATTATAAGTGTATTAGGAACTAATCTAAAATAGACATTTATGAATTAATTAATTTTATCAAATTATATAAAATTTAGAATTTTGGTTGTTATATATCTAATATTTTTTGTTAAACCATGAAGTTTAAAAAAAAAAATGTGTAGGCAATTTACATATAAAATTTCTTGAAACTAAAATATGCTAATTCCTAAGAAAAATAATGAAATATGCAATAATTATACAACAAAAGTTTTTATACTTGAAATCTGTGTACTGTGGATGAAATTTGTATAGAATCAGAATTTCAATAAGCATTTTCTAAACTAATATGCAAATGTTTAAAGCTCCAAGTCTTAGTTGATAAAATAAAAATAACAAGAGCTAATATTAAAAATATAAGACATACTTGTTTTCTTCTACCACTTTGGGATACATCCCAAGGAATACTATCTAAATTTTTAATTAGTATTGTTTCTTCTTCTTCAGTAATAAATTCATTTTCTACTAGAATACCATCCAATTTATATGATATGCCAGTATGATTAGGATGATTTTTGTATTCATTTGCATCCCAACCACTCCATAATAAATTACAGTAAGAACAGTAAGAAGCAGTGGATGATTTCTAAAAATTAAAAAAACCAATAAATAAAAACAAACAAATACAATTGTATGTTTCTGACTTTTAAACTTGTAGGATCAACAGTTGGAGTTAAATTGAATTCTTTTTCACACACAAAACAAGTTCTAACTCCTTTACATCCACACAACTGTGATCTATCCATCTATAACATTATAATAAATAAGTAGATAATTATTTATGATATCTTGTGTATATTTGATTAATCACACATAATTTTTCCTATATTTACATGTGTGTGTGTATTTGTGTGACATACAGAAATATCAATAATTATTTTGAAATTATTTAGTACCAAAAATATTTTTAGTTCTACTATATTTTAACAATTAATAAATATTTTAAGAATACACTAAGATGATAATATTCAGAATGTTTATCTAAATTATCTTTAATAAAATATGAGGACCACATTCTTTGGAAATCACATAAGTTTAAAAAATAGAAAATATAGTTCCCTCCTACACTAAAAAATCGATTCATGGGAAACATACATTTTATAATAATAGCACATAGTGATCAAAAATAAGATAGCATTTACATTAAGTTATAATTTAAATTATGATAAATTTAATATTTTTGTTTTAATTTGGCATACAAGAGTCAAATTTAATTCTTTACAATTTACACATAACTAATATCATAAGTGATACAGATGGCCTCTCAACAAATACATCTCTTTGTACTACTGGTCAAGCAACACAAAAATACAGGTATGTGTTAAAATGTATATGAAAGGTTAAATAATTATATTAAAAAAGTAATTAGATTAATTTAATTTTCAACATTATAAATATGAAAATAATTAATAATTCTTTTTAGGCAATTTAAAAGTTAATTTGTATTTCATTTTTGTATAATTTATATCAATATTATAAAAATTTTCAGAATATTTAAAATTATTTTTCAAATAATACACCAGTAATTAATTAAATACATTTTATTCAACAAATTAAGTAATCCCTAAATCTGATAATTACACATACTAATAAACACAAATCAAGTATATAGTAAGAAAATATTAAAATTATAATTTGAAAGTATTTATTAAACTTTTAGTTCATACATATTATTTCCTTTTTTAATTAAAATTCCTTCATTGTTTAGTAGATCTACAATATTGTAAAAATCTAAAGTTGCAATATTTAATTGTTTTGAAAATAACTTCATTTGATCAATATTAAAGACTTTTTCTGTTTTATTATGTCTTTGTAATTCATTTAATAGTTTTCTAGATTGAGCTCGAATTCCAGTTTTTTTAACACTTTTTTTGAATCCAAAACCACTAAATTCATCACATTGAGTTTTTACAAGGCTAAAATTAAGCAGTTCAATAACTTCATAAGCATCTTTTGCAGAAACTTCTTCTCTCAGTTCTACTTTAGCTCTAGCTTGTGCTAATCTAATACATGATTCTAATTGTCTTATGGTTATTGGAATACCATAACTTAAATTATTTGACCTTAGTTCAATAAAAAATTGCTGTAACATTTCTTTTGCTTCATTTGACAAAGTTGGAGATGAAACATATTTTCTTGCGTATGCTATATATTTACGTAGTTCAGCTTGAGAAATATAATCGGAACTTTTCCCAAATTCTGACAATCTTTCTTTAAGACAACTATAATTTTCAGAAAAATTGTTTACATTTTGAGTTTCTTTCACCTTATTTGAATGTATATTTAGCACATGTGCCGTTAGCTTTTTATCAGTGATCTCATTAGGTGTATCTATTAATAAAAATATTAAATCAAAACGAGATAACATAGCTTGACTCATTTTCAAATTATCTAATACACTTTTATCACAATTATAATGCCCACCAATTGGATTTGCTGCAGCCATTATAGTAGTACGACATGGTAAAGAACAAATGACGCCACCTTTAGCAATACTTATCGTTTGTTGTTCCATAGCTTCTAGTAATGTATTATGATCTGTAGACATTTTATCAAATTCATCAATACAACACACACCTTGATCAGCTAATACAACAGCCCCAGCTTCTAAAGAAAAATCTATGCCTTTCTCTCGAGTTAAACTTACAGTAAGTCCAGCTGATGAACAAGTACTTCCACAAACAAACACACCTCTTGGAGAAATATTACACACTGATTGAAGCATTTGTGATTTTCCAAGACCAGGATCACCAATAACTAAAATATGAATATCTCCTCGTGTTTGATTTAGAGAACAGTTACTTCCTCCAAATAGTGATAATAACATTCCAGCTTTCACCATTTCATGACCATAAATGCCTTGACATATGGAATTTACCATAACTTCAAAGAGATAAGGTTTAGAATGAAGTTTTTGAATAGAGTAATAATCTCTCATAGTAAATTGAAAAGCAGTACTTGTAACCTTTCCTTTTGACTGATTTTTGTTATTTTGTATGGATACTACTTCGATATATTGCATAAAAATGTTTAATTCTTTATTTTGTGCACTTTGTTTATTTGAATTACACAATTTTTTCTTAACAATACCAGTTACAGTAACAACATCACCAGGAATGCAATTATATACTAAATCGTTTGTAAGCTCACATTCCACAGTCCTGGGTACTCTACCACTTTCTCGTTGGTCATCACTTTGTAATTCTTGAACTCTAATTGTTTGACAATTAATTGTCTGAGTAAATGGTAAATTCCTATTTATAGAAAATGAATGACTTTTACATGCAATATTATCACACTGTTTTGGTTTTGTAAATATACCATCAGGTTGTTTTATATTTTGAATTGAACCACAAGTATTACACGAAAATCCTAACCACAAACATTGAAATTTTAAACTACTGGCTTTTATGACGGTCCCATGAACTAAAATTAATTTTCCATCTGTTTCTGCTTTTAAACATTTTAAATGAAAAAGTGGACCAAAATTCAATATCCTAGGGTGTATCATAGGCAAGTTTTTGAACATAGTACAATCATCATGAATATTTTTATTTAATTCTTCTAGTGCATATTGATGAATTGCAAGTCCTAAACAATTTAATGTATAACTAGGTTGATTGGTTAAATCATCCCAAAAATTTGACCAGATAAACATGAAATCTTCATCTTCATTTAAGGAATCAACATTGAAAATATAAGATTTATTTTCTATAAGTTGTTCAATAGAAATGTTTTGTTCATATTTTTTTAAAAATGATATTGTAGCTAAAATTAATTTTACAGTTAAGCTATCTTTATAATATTTTTCAGTTGGAAAATAAAGTTGCCATCCATGAAAAAAATCTTCTTGAGTATCGTCAATGTTTAAATTTAAATTTACATCACTAATATCAAACTCGCCTGTTGTATGATGTTGAAGTTTATTATTATTTTTATACTTTTGCCAATATCGACCACCTTTCCATTTATTTTGATTAGGATTACTCATAGCTGTGTAATTAACTGAAAGTAATTAACATTAACTAATTATTATTACTTTTATTTTAAATATAATAAATTTTCATGAATAAATTTGTATATAAAACTATAACATTAAAAGTATATTCATATAAAATGTCAATACAATGTAATACACATAACAAATTAATCAAAGGTAATAATAAAATCAATGAATTTCACTATTATTACTATAATTTTATTAGCATAAAGATTTATTTAAATTTAATACTGAAGTTATATTATAAATTCACTATGTATATTATATTTATTGTATACATACAATAAATTAATATTAGTAATGTTCAATATTACTTGTATAAAATTTAAAGTATTTAATGTAATTAACATAAGAATATAAGTAATATATTTTTAAAAACTGTTTAAAAAATTAATTTTTTTATTATAAAAATTTACTTCAATTGAACAAAATAATAATAAAATTAACTCTACTGGATATTTCCAGTAATATAGAGTAACATGCCTTTTTATTTAAATTATACAAATACATACTTACAATATAATTAGATATTATAAATTATTTGAAGTAACCTTAATTTTTATATTATTTTAGAATGTAAGGAAGTAGATACTAAACTATTTAAAGTTTGAAGTTTAAACATTGGGCATGTTTCACGATTTCAACACATGTGGTAACTCAAGCTTATTAGTATTTATTATTAATTATATTTAGACGTGGTATCAACTATAATGCATTGAGATAAATAATAAAGTATCAAGATAATGCTATAACAAAGTACTGTTATTCTGTGAAAGTACCTCGATTATTTTCAAAATAGTGATAAAAACGAACATATAGTTTTTGCCATGAAAATAAATGTGATAAAGTTATAACGCATTGTTATATTTTATCATGATGCTCCTTAATCGGCAATCGTTGTTTATTGTTAATTGCATGGTTTATATATTACATACATATATTTGTAAAAAACCAAATTTTATGAGACCATGTAATTCAGTAACTAATTAATAGTTAAATAATTCAATTTGACGTTGACCAAGTAACAGTGATTTGTAAGAATTATAATTTTAGAATATATAATAAGCTACAAAAATTTAATTTAATTTTGATATATTTAATTCTGTTTATATTAATGTAATTTAAACGTTTTAATTTTAGTTTTGAATATCAAAAAATTAAAAAAATTACAACTATTTAAAAATGTCACTGGCCGAAGAGTTACTTGCTGATTTGGAGGAGGATGGATATGATGATAGTGAGCCTATGATCATCAAAGAAGAACCATTTGATGAATCGGAAGAAAATGCTTTTATTCCTAAACAAACTGGTATATTTAAAAATAACTCATTTAATTTTATTTTTGTATATTAAATATGTTGTTTTGTAGATTTTAAAAATGTTAAAATCCGTGATCTTGCTAAACTACGAGATTCAGATCATCTAGTTGGCATAATGCGACAAATTGATATATTTCAAAGCAAACAAAGAAATGCAGAAGATGTATTAGGTCCTGTAGAATCTGATCCTGAATATCTTCTTATTGTAGAAGCAAACAATTTGATTGTTGAAATTGATGATGAAATATGTAAGATATTTAAAAACAAATGCATTAAGACAATTTATTTTATTAATATATAATTTTATATTATATACTATTAATATACATTTTCAGTAATCATACATAAATTTGTTCGAGACAAATATTCTAAACGATTTCCTGAATTAGAGTCCCTAGTTGTTGGTCCATTAGAATATGTGCAAACTGTTAAAGAACTTGGCAATACTCTTGAACAATCAAAAAATAATGAAGTACTGCCAACCTTTCTTACACAAGCTACTATTATGGTTGTGTCTGTTACAGCATCAACTACTCAAGGGTAAAATATTAACTAAATTAATATTGAATTTGTATTTATATTGCAAAATAAGGATGAGCACTTCAAAGTAACTAGATGGCCAATTTATAGAACTTTAAAATCTGGAGGTCCTAAGTAAAAAAGCGAAAAAAAAAAGATCATTAAAATTTATTTAATTAGCATTTATTTTATATAATTAAAGTTTACGACTGAACCTATACAATAAAATAAATACCTAGTATCTATAACTATGTAAGCTATGCTTATATGGATACATATTATAATTAAGTATTTAATAATTTAGTTGCAGTTCAATATTAGATAAGTATATAATATTTACATTTGACAGTAAAAATATTTTGAAAATACAAAGGCCAGATAAAAAAAATTATATAGGCCGTTAGTTTCCCATCCTTATTGCAAAACATTTTCTTATTTCTAATAACTAATATTTTATCTTCCAGACAAAATGACAAAATATTTAGTAAAATTTTAATTTATTTTTTATGAAGTATTTATTTTAAAATTTTTTTATAAAACTAGATTAATTCAAAAAAACTTGGATCATAATACCTAGTATAAATATACTTATCATTTATGCTCTATGTATTATTTATTGTATTACTTTTTATTTAAATGTTAATTATATATTTATATTTTTAGTAATTTTAAATATTAAATCATGAATGCATAAGAACTTATTTATTTTGTTTTTAGACAACTTTTAAATGAAAATGAACTATTTGAAGTCCGTGAAGCTTGTGATATGGCTATTGACCTTAATAAATTAAAAATGAAAGTTTATGAGTATGTAGAAAGTAGAATGACTTTCATAGCACCTAATCTTTCCTTTATTGTTGGAGCTTCAACTGCTGCAAAAATCATGGGTATTTTTTTAAATGATAATTCAGTTTGTAGTAAAAATACCATAAACAAAAATTTTGCAATAGACAACTAATTATTTACTATAATTATCTACAACATCAATTATTGTGTATAGTATGGTTTTTTGATTATGGTATTAATTAATATGTACTTTAAGGTATGGTGAAGCTTTTGTTGACTTTTGTAAAAGTTGCTTCTTGCTGATTGAACCTTTCCATCCTATATTATTTATTGATTATGATCAGTCACATTTTACCTTCAACTTTATTTATTTTAGGAGTTGCAGGAGGATTAACTAATTTATCAAAAATGCCAGCATGTAATGTTCTATTATTGGGTTCTCAAAAAAAACTTTTATCTGGTTTTTCACAAGCTAATGCAATGCCTCACACTGGTTTTATTTTTCATTGTTCTTTAGTACAAAATAATCCTCCAGTATGTGATAATTATTTTTACTACATTTATTTTATAAGCTGATCAAGTTTTATTTTATTAGGATTTACGTAGAAAAGCAGCAAGACTTGTTGCCACTAAAAGTACATTAGCTGCAAGAGTTGATGCAGCCCATGAAAGTGTTGATGGTCATATAGGAATGACATTAAAAGAAGATATAGAAAAAAAATTAGATAAATTAACGGTTTGTTTGATATATTAATTTTTATTTGATTTAACTATAAATAATAAATTTTTACTTTAGGAACCTCCTCCAGTTAAATTTATTAAACCTCTTCCTAAACCAATTGATCCAGGTCGAAAGAAGAGAGGTGGAAAGAGAGTACGTAAAATGAAAGAACGTTATGCTGTTACTGAGCTACGTAAACAAGCAAACAGAATGAATTTCGCCGATGTAAATATAGTATGAATTGTATTTTAATTTAGATTTAACATTGGTTATTCATTTAAATTTAGATTGAAGATGACGCATATCAAGAAGACTTAGGATATACTCGTGGAACTATCGGTAAGTCAGGAACTGGTAGAATTCGTCATGCTCAAGTTGATGAAAAAACTAAAGTACGGATTTCAAAAACTCTCCAAAAAAATTTACAAAAGCAACAAGCTTGGGGTGGTGCAACTTCAGTTAAAAAACAAGTGTCTGGTACTGCATCTAGTGTTGCCTTTACTCCCCTTCAAGTGAGATTTATTTTTATAAATTTAAAAAAAAAAAATATTTTAATTAGTATATTTTTATAAATAATATTAGTTTTTTCTAAAGTTTTTTTAAACTTATAATAATAAGCATTAAATACGGATTTCCTTGTTTTGTCTGTAAAATTTTATACTATTTTAGAACAAATTTAATTAATAAAAAAAGTGAAACTCTTAGGTCGATTGAGACTCCATGGTCAAAGGTGACATATGGATAGGATATTGATCTTTGAACTTGAAATCAATGAACCATTTTTCTTGAAAAAAAGTATAAAAATGTATAAATTTTGATTAGAATGTAGAAAAATTTTATAATTTTTATTTTTTTGTTAAAATTTAATATTCAAATTCTCGTAAAATATTTTCTTGGAATTAAATCCAAATTATCAATGATAATATGATAGTTATAAGGAACTTAGTAAAGAAAAAATTTAAGACTATGTCAAACTAAAATTATTTCATTGACATTTTTTAATAAAATCCTAGAAAATATAAAAAAATGTAATCCTCTATAATAATTAAAAAAAATTATTTTGAAAATTATGCCATCTGTAACGGATATTAGTTATCAGTATTCATTGAAAATTTCATATCCCTACAATCATTATTTTGTTTGGTATGATGAAAATAAATATTTGATTTTATATAGAACCGTTATGTGATAAATGGCTTTTTATAACATTGTTAGTTTTTTTCACAGTTACAAAGAAAATTGAGAAATTTTTTTGAGAAATTAAAAAATTCAATAAATGACCCTTACAAGTATCGAATAGAACCAATTTCCTATATAAGTTTTTATTTAGTAATGATCAAAGCATTTCTGCCGGTTAAAATTCAGTACACCATTAAAAAAAATAAAAATAAAAATAATACATCATAGTTAAACTAATACATACCTTGTTTCACTCAGAATTTAATAAATCTATTCCTTGATTCACTGACAATATTATGTTTTGTTAATATTTTGGATAGATAAATATATTTTTTCAGCTATTCGTATAATATATAAGATATTATTTAATTAAAATTATTTACAATATTATATGTTAATTTTAATTACCTTACTTATTTCTTATTATTATGATTTTAAATTAAAATGTAATGCTTCTCAAAAGCCATTTTACATGATTCTTGTAAATTAAATGTGATTAATTATTTTTTGTAAAAAGTGGTGATAATTTTAATGTTTTTTTTCTGTTTAATTTGCTTTTATAATTTTAATGTTATAAATTAATAAAATCGATCAATTATGTGTTTTTTTAGTGTAATTATTTTATTAGGTGATGCATACGTATAAGTTACAATCTTATCAAATAAGATGTTTAATGTATTATAGTGACCTTTGTTCTGAATAGTATATATAAATTCTATGATTTATCATTGCTTTTTAAAAGTTATAAAAATAACATATAAATAACACGGTATGTAAATAAAGACAAAATTATTATTTGAATTTTATGTGTTAAGAATAGATTTAATATTGTTGTACATTGTCATATATTTTATTACTTTATGTTGTAATAATTATTTATTAATTATAATATGTCTTTTACTTATTCTGAATAAATAATTTCGTAACCTTTTTATTTTATTGACTTATATTATGGCTAAATTTTAAATAAATAATTATTATTTTTTTTTTTTAGGGTTTAGAAATAGTCAATCCACAAGCAGCTGAAAGTAAAAATTCCGGCATTAATTCAGCAAGATATTTTTCCAACACTGCAAGTTTTGTAAATGTGAATAATAAACAATAAAATGTAGATAATAAAATGTTTTTTTTTTATTTTTCATTATGATTAAAGATTAAAAATTAAATTATTTTAACTGTATAAATCTAACTAATTAGAATCCAAATAAATAGTTTACATATCAAAGGTTAAGCAGTTTTTAACCCTTATTTTTAATTAGATAAACTTTTTCCAATGTAACAAGTTTAGCTAATAAGGTATAATTGAACAGTTGAGTTCATCAAACAACAGTAACATTTTATCTGTTGAGTTTAAATACTATCCAAGACTAAATAATATTGATCATAGTATATACTAATAAAAGTTTGCAATGTATTTTTTAAATCCCAAACCTTTTAAACATATTAAATGTTTTTATTTCAGTCTTAGAAAAAGCAGTAGTTTTTTAATTAATGACGATAAATATTCATTCCTCAAAGAACTTGGTTTGAAAGAAGAAAATTCTGGTGTGTATGATGGAAAATGGAATGCAAACGGAAATGTTAGTATCTTTTATTAACCATTCCAAAACCATTTAGAATATCATACATTTCTTCATAGATGACAACATCAGTATGTCCTGCAAATGGTCTACCAATAGCTTCGGTGCAAAATGGTAATACAGAAGATTATGATAGATGTGTATCTAATGCTCTTGATGCATGGAAGTATTGGTCTGATATACCTGCGCCAAAAAGAGGAGAAATTGTTAGACAAATTGGTGTTGCTTTAAGACAAAAAATAGAACCACTTGGAAAATTGGTATCGTTGGAAATGGGTAAAATAATATGGTTAATTTTTCAAACTTATTAGCTTAATCATTTATTATTTTAGGTAAAATTTTGGGGGAAAGTATAGGCGAAGTACAAGAGTATATTGATGTTTGTGATTATGCTGTTGGCATTTCAAGAATGTTTAATGGTTCAATATTTCCTTCTGAAAGACCAAATCATGTTATGCTTGAACAGTGGAATCCCTTAGGTTTAGTAGGAATTATAAGTGCATTTAATTTTCCTGTTGCCGTTTATGGTTGGAATAGTGCTATATCTATGGTATTTTTTACTTTTAATGGTTTTTCATTTAATTTAAATTTAATTAAGTAATATAACTAATCTACAGGTATGTGGAAACTCAGTGATTTGGAAAGGAGCACCAACAACTTCTCTTACTTCAGTGGCCACTACTAAAATTATTACATCAGTTTTAGAAAAGAATAATATTCCTGGGGCTATTTTATCATTATGTACAGGTGATGTTGATATTGGAGTGTCAATGGTTAATGATAAACGAGTAAATTTAGTTTCCTTTACTGGAAGTAGTTCAGTTGGTCAAAAAGTTGGTTCTTTAATTTTATATTTTTAGAGATCAATCATATAATTTGGTATACTTATTAACAGTATATTTTATTCAGGTTGGTGTTGAAGTACAAAAGAGATTTGGTCGTGTATTATTGGAATTAGGTGGTAATAATGCTATTATTGTTACACCGAATGCTAATCTTGAAATGGTATCGCAGTCAGTGGTATTTGCATGCTGTGGAACAGCTGGTCAAAGATGTACTACTACTAGAAGATTAATTTTACATAAATCAATTTACAATACTGTTTTAGTAAATTTAGTCAAAGCATATTCTAATGTCCTAAAAAGATTAGGTGATCCTCTTGATGAAAATACTCTTTATGGTCCTATGCATTCATTAACAGCCATTGATAATTTTAAACAAACAGTATCGGAAGCAATTGAAGCTGGAGGACAAGTTGAATTTGGAGGAAAAGTATAACTTTTTGATTTTATATTATTGAATTTAAGCATTATAATAATACAATGTTATATTAAGAAATTGACTAAATACAATTTTAATATTTTAGGTAATAAATAGATCTGGTTATTTTGTAGAACCTACTATTATATCTGGCTTAAAGTATGATTCACCTGTAGTATGTCGTGAAACATTTGCTCCTATTGTTTATGTATTGAAGTATGATACTTTAGAAGAGGCTATTTCATGGAACAATAGTGTAGATCAAGGATTGGCATCTAGTATCTTTACCAATGATATTGGAACAGTATTTAAAGTATGTTTTTTAATTTATTTATATAGTAGATACATATTACAATTTTATAATAGTTATTAGTATATTTGTTATCATATTTTTAACCTTGAAAAGTTTATAAATTATTTATTTTGATTATTTTCATAAATTATAATGAATATTGTCAAAAATTAAAAGTATTATCAGGCCAATTATTTTTTTTTTTTTTTTTTAAAGAATGAGTTGTTTTAATATTATTGTCCTATATTTTACTTCTCATCATCTATTATTTAAATTATATATCCTCCTTTTGGTAAAAAATAGTTGAAAAGTTTTTATTAAAAAATGTATTAAAAATGTTTAGTAACTAGGGCCCGGATTTAAATGCACTTAAAACCATACAAATATGCTCTAAAAAATAGCCAAAAATGTCTTTAAAATATGAACTTAAAATTGAAAAAATGACCTTAAAAATGACATATATTTTTTTTTTGTTTTGGGCATTATTTAACACACTATTTAATACATAAAAATCACATTCACATGTAATATGAGCAGTCTGCGAGATAATACGAAGTTGATTTGTTATTTGACCGAATACTAGTGTCGTTCCATAGTCAATAATAAATTAAAATAAGATAAAAACAGAATCGAAAAATAAAGATGTGTATGGAAAAACCTAATAATAATAATTTTTTTTTTGATTTTATTTTGAATAGGCTAAATTTATTTAGTATATCGAACAAATATGCATTAAATACTTACAAAATGACCCAATAATACTAAAAATGAAAAAACGTCGAAATATACAAAAAAAATGCAACATAAAATTTGTAGTTTTGAAACCCTCGTTACATGAAACGATTAATTTTCTTAGAAAGCATTGTTTATGATTAACCAAAAAAATTTGCACTTTGCACTAAAATCCGGGCCCTAGTAATAACATTTCTAATTATTTTATTAAAAAAAAAAAAATAACTTTTTGTTAAAGAAAAAAACTAAAAATATTTATGAGTTATTATTTATGTTTATAACTCTACACAATATTTCCTTGAAAGTTATAGTTGAATATATTTAATTTTATAATTAATCAATCATCTTTATGTTTAAAAATATGTAATTTTTTTATTTAATGTATTAATTTATTTATTAGTGGATTGGTCCTAAAGGATCAGATTGTGGTATTGTTAATGTCAATATACCAACAAATGGAGCTGAAATTGGTGGTGCATTTGGTGGTGAAAAACATACTGGTGGAGGACGAGAATCTGGATCTGATTCTTGGAAACAATATATGAGAAGGTCAACTATTACACTCAATCATGGATCTGGATTAACTTTAGCTCAAGGCATTAAATTTGAATAACTAAAAATTTTAACATTTATTTTTAAAATAAATCAAAATCAGATATTAATTAAGAATATATTTTTATTTGATTATTATTTTTTTATCTTATTATTTTATTTTATTTAGTTTTACCGTATATTTTACTTATAAAAATTTATATTTATTTTGCTTATACTTTATAGTAACTTATACTATAAAAATAAAAATTATTATAGTTATTTATTAATATAACTCAGTTTTACACTAAGGAGCTTAAAGTTCAATCTTTACTTCTGCAATATATTTATTTGTATTGCCTTAGGTTACAGAAATTAGTTTCATGCATACAGATTACTAGAAGTTGTTAAAAAAAAATCATCTTGAAATATTGAATCAATTGAATAACTGTATGAGTACTGCGAACAAAAATCCTAGATACAAAACAAAGGGTACAGTTGTCTCTTCTCTGAAAAAAAAAAATCAATACTTAACAGCAACCTTTCTTGATATTGTTCAGACCTTTGATCGGGTCTGGAACATAGGCCTTCTTTACAGCATTAAAAATATTCTTCCTTCTTTTCTATACTTATTTTTCTTGTCTTATTTCACTAAATGGCAATTTTCCCTTCGCTACCGTAACTCTCTTGTCATCGATTTCTGAAATTAAAGCTGGAGTCTCTCAAGGAGCCATAACTGCCCTTATTATTTACAAGATCTTTTTCACCGATCAACCAATCTCTCCAACTATTACAGTAGCAAAATACGCCGGTGACAAAATAGTCCTCTCACGGATGAAAATCCTACTTTACCTTCTTATTACCTCTTAACTCAGTTTGATCAACTACAACTATGGTACACAAAATGGAAAGTGAAAATAAAAGAAAGTAAGTCAAATCATGTCACATTTGCCTGAAACGTGGCCTCTATTCTCACAAACATTTAAATAACATGCATCCAAATCCTTTCTTCTACCCGTCTTTTCTCTATGATACGCTCAGGGCCGGATTTAGAGCCGGGCCCACGCCCAGGGCCTCACGCTATAGTACTTACATATGTTACAATTAATATGTTTATGATAATAACATAGGTAATATCAAAACATATTGTGTTTTACTATTATTGATTTATTAAAGATATTAATTCATTATAAAAAGAAAACATAATTATTTATTAAAAAGAAAATTACACTTGTAAAATATCTAAAAACTATAACATAATACAACACCATGAGAGTTGACACTACTAGCCTACTACTATATATATAGTATATCGTCAGGGCCGGATTGGCCCGGCGAGTTACCGAGCAAAACTCGGTAGGCCGCGACAATTTTTGGCCTTTTAAGTTGTGAAAGGCCGCTAACAGAAAATATTAATAGTTTAAAGTTGAAGATTAGTGCACCTATTGAAATATGCGATTAAAAAAATTTAGACAAAAGCCGCCAGTTAGTAAGTGGCCCGGTAACATTCAGCAGTAGTGGCCTGAGTACATTTTTTTTTTTTGGTCGGCTGAAATATAAAAGGGCCCCTCACCAATAAGGCCAATAGCAAATGCTAATGGGACTTTTTACAAATTTACATTTTTAAAAATAACTAGATAATTGTTTCGAAGTTCTAAAAACCTCTTCCAAAAAAATGTAGATTTATGTACCTAACTATTTTTGTAAGTACCTTATTCTACTTTAGGTTCCATTTAAACTTTTACCCCTTGGGTATAATGATAAAATTTATAATGATAAAAATAAATAACAAAATATCTATAATGCTACCTATTCAATATTCGTGTTGATGCATATACTACTCGTATAAAATAATATAAATAGATATTTGGATTATTCTCATTATCGCTACCTAACTGTTGCGTGAATTCTACTTACTAGATCCTAACGTATTATAATAAGGACCTGGTTTAGTATTGTATTAATATTAATTATTGTGTGTTAAGCCATGTTTCTTCAGTGTCTCCCACCATATTGTTAAATAAGGCAATTTTTTTTTTACTTTAAATCTTGTATGAAATTAATGCACTGCACTATATACATTTACGACCATTGTAAAACAAATATTTAAATAAATAACAATTAATGAATATTTTATTCAATGTTATAATAAATAATAGTAATTAATATAGTTAAATAGTAAAGTAATGTTTGTAATTTTGAAGACGAATTTACATAACAATTTATTATTTCTTCTATATTAGGAATTATATCACTTTCAATATTAATTAATAAAAGAGGCTCTAATAGTTCTTGATTCAATGATGACATCATTCTTGTTTTAATAATTTTTAATTTTGAAGACGACCATTCACAATGCACTTTCATGTATACCCAGTATAAATTTATAAATGCATATGTATGATCATAGGTGCAACTAGAATTCAATATCTGGGTGGAATACATTTTAATGATATCAGCGACCCATGGGGGCTTTGCCCCCACATTACCAATATTGATTATCAACACTAAAATTTATATTTATATTGATTAGAAGTCCTTACGACCTAGTCGTATACTGTACGTATACGTAACTATAGTCGTTAATAGATTCTTTTGAAGTAAAATTTTGTCTCTTAGTCACTTTCTACTTACAGACTAGCTTCCTAAATAAATATGAATAAGAATGATATACATATATAATCAATAAAATATTAAGTTCATAGCTATTAAATGTTTATTATAAAGCTTAATTAAATTAACATTATTTTTCTATTTTTTTCAGAAAATTTATTTACAATTTCATTTTCGTCTAATTGTTGGTTACATCTCTCTATATTTAAAATAGATAAATTTGTAAATCGATCTTGGGTCATGGAAAATCAAAGCCAATATTTTATTGGTTTCATTGAAGAGAACAACTTTTCATAGGTGGCTGAACTTATAGGAATAGATAAAGTCACTTGTAAAAGTTTAAAAAGGTTTGGAAGTATTTGTTTTTCGGCAATTTATTTGACATCAATTATATTGAAATCTTTTTTTTTACTACTTAAAACATAAAATTCCACTCTCATTTCTGCTTCTAAGCTACTCTTTAAAACGTGTAGTAATTCCTATAATTAAAATTATTATAATTAAATAATTAGTTATACTTAATCTTTCATTGTCATTAATATTTTGTTATTATATTATTTTATTATTATATACCTGTAAATTTATTGGGGTCAAAAAAATGTTACTGCTTGTGAAATATTCTTATATTTAAATAATTTGTCAATTATTAAACGAAAAATTTGTATTCTATATAGATAGAGGGTCATTTTCTGCAACTTCATTATCCAACAGTTTTATTCTCTTGACATTTTTTTTATTTTGCGTTTTCGTTATTCAAGTAATTTAGTTTCATAATATTATAATATTATTATTTTATTGCACGGTATTTATTTTAAAAATACAATGCGACTACCTACCATGATTTAAGATAATATCTATAAAAAAAAAGAGGCTCAATCGGATATGGCGGCAAGTGTCCAGTTAGCCAAGGGCCCAGTCGGCGATCGCTGACTCGCCGACCTGGCCAGGCCGCCACTGACATACAGAAAACTCGATGGGCCGAATTTGTCCAATCCGGTCTTGTATATAATATAAAAGTATAATAAATATCTACAAAAACAATAAGGAATTGTGTCTTCAACAGCCATCTGGGTATTTTTTCAATGTTTAATCATAATAATATTTCAGTACAGAAATAAGTACCTATATTAATGATACTGCTAGGTTTCTGATTCGTTTTGTATAGATAAAAATTTGGTAGGAAACAAATAAAATATATTTTTGTCTACACAGTTAAGCGCGATTCACACTAGTACGATACGACACGACACGACACGACAAAATATTATATCCATATAATTAAATACGGTAATTCACACCGATCCGTCAAGCTCCGTAACGACACCACATGACACGACATGGCACGACAAGACATTCGAGCAAAGAATGTTTTGTCGGTCTGTCAGTCCCTGTCGGAATCAATTTAGTTGAAATATACATATTTTTATGTACTCATAAAATCAAATTATTATATGATTATTATTTTATAATAATAAACTAATAATAACTAATAATAACTCATAAAATATTATTTATCAATAATTGAGTATGTAATAATTTGTTGAGAAGTTTCAGAGTGCATTGCGCACAAACTTGTCGAACACTTGATTTATATACATAAAGATTATATTATATTATACAATAATAATATTATAATTAATAGACATAGTACATAGATACAGTCTTTATATTAGATTCGACTATAAAATATGGTTTATTTATAAAAATTATGGAATAAAAGTATAAATAATATGTTGTTTATATTACTCAAAATAGATAAGCACTAATCATAGTATGTACAAAAA